ATTTATGCAAAAATTTACGGAAATTTTACATCCCGAAAACTTACGGAGTTATCCGCCCTTAAAAATTTCCTGATGTAGATACTTCCTATTGCTAATAAAGGTATAATAATTATTGTATTTTATATTTTTATGTATACTAATAATATTTTATTTTTAATATAGAAGATTTCGGTATTAGTTTAATGATGTGAACTGTGAATTGACTGAATTGGTAAGAATAAATTATTTATCAACAATTAAAATATAATAACAGGAAACAATAATAATTATAAAATATTATTGTAGAATCAAAATATTTCAAGTTTGAACAAAAATATCACCAATATAGAAAGATAAATAAATAATAATATTATATAATAATAATAATAAAATTGTCTTACTGTAACGAATCTACTAATTTGTTAATTTATAAATGAGCGAATAAATAGCAACAACTATTTATTACATGGAAATAATATCAACAAATATTATTCCAACAAAATATAGGTTATAAAATAAATTAATTGATAAGAACTTGCTTGCCTCTTTATTTCTTATGCCTTTATATAATTATAAAAATACATAATTATAAATATAGATAAATATTATTGCATATCTTAAGTTCATAGAACCTTTCCGGAATAGGTAAACATAATTAATATAATAATATAAAAAGAAATAAAAAAGGTACATATGAATTAGCTAATATAATACAAATAGAAATAATATAGATTATTCACATGTACTAGATAAGATAATTTAGATAAATGATTATCACATTCTTTCATCCTGTTTTAATGTGAAATCAACAGCAAAAATAAAATAAAAAGAAAATATAAAAGTAATAAAAAAAATAAATAAAAATAGAAATATTTTTACGTAAAGATTATTGCGATAAAATTATGTCAACAAGACGAGAACTGCTATACTTACTTATATGATGTTTCAAAGTAGATATGAAGTATTTGAATTTGGTTGGACACTAAACTAAAATAAAAATTTCAAAAAAGAACCATGGAAATGAATAAAGAAGAATGTGAAATATATATTGGAAAATATGTTTTATACAGGAACAGAAAATCCAAATTATAAATTTTTAGCTCAACAAATGTATAAGGAACTTATATGGTATGTTCAATTTGGTGAACTTGAAAAAAATGACATATCCAAAATTTCTACTATTCAAAATTGGATTACCAGTTTCTCAAGAAAATGAAAAGAAGTTATAGTAATACGTGAGTTAGAAGAAATGGAAAATACAAGAAATATGTAAAAAAAATTATAATAATACTTTTCAGTAATTTTATTCATAGATAAAAAAAAAATTTTTAATTTTTTTATTAAAAAATTAAATATTTGCATCTGATGCTACCTCAATATAAAGTATAAAAATAAATATAAAAATATATGTTTTTTTAATCAAAACATTACTCTGGTATTTAAAGATTGTCATTATGTAGTTTTTAATATGAAAATGTTAGCAGGTGATATTTTTTATAAGTGTGACATCTGACATTTTGAATTTTTTTGTATAATAAAGTTATTCTGAATTTTTATAGTAATTTACTGCAGATCATAGACAAATTGAGATTTAATTATTTTAGCATACAAATTTGTTTATTAAAACAGATGGTTTAAAAGATAAAAAAGATGAATTTTCCTCTCACTCCAAAGTAGCTTTAATAGATCTAATATTAGAATTTAAATAAAAATCTCATTGTATTGAATTTGTATTTAATTTAAATATTGAATTAATATCTTTTGATAATTCTAATTAATAAGATTATTGATTTATTTTATAATGAACATATACCTTTTTACTTAAACTCTATTACTTTCTTATTAATTTATATTCTTTGAATATAAATTATTATTAATAAACTCTTGTTAATCTTTTATAATTTCTTAATAAATATTTTTAATCCTAAGTTCTTAAATTGTTTATCTGAATTGAATAGTTATTTTTAATATAGTTGATAATTGTTCACATAAATTCTAAGTTCTTTATTATTAGTTAAATTATTTTTGTTTCTTTAATTTTAGTTAAATTTATATTTACAATTTGTAAACATATTTCTTCTTGTTTATGAGTTACTAGTTATAACTTATCTTTTGAAAAATAAAATTAGTCCAAAAGGTTGACTAGTAACAATGCTATTAATTATGCTAATGTATAAACATTTTATTATACTATCTTATACGTGTTGCCCAAATCCCAAATTACTAGTATTTGGGATTTGGGATTTGGGATTTCGACAAAAAATACTAATCATAATTTGGGATTTGGGATTTGGGATTTTGGCATTTGGGATTTTGGCATTTGGATTTTGAATTTGGGTGGCAGGTATATACTATCTACTATATTATCTATTATACTTTTAATTATACTATCAATTATACTAAAGATCTATATTCATAATACATAATAGTTACACTAATTTCTAACTGATTTATATTAATAATTATACTAATATAATATACTAAATAATATATATAATACAAATAATAAAATATATAATAATAAATAATATAATAAAAATAAAAATAAAAGAATAGAGCTAATAACATATGCTTAGATATATATCAAAATATATCCTATCATCCTTAAATAGTGTATCTTCATAACTTTCTCATATTATTTTTTAGTATTAAATAAATAAATACTTTATTATTAAACTTCCTCCATAATTATTAGAACAGAACAAATATAATTAATTATTTAATTAATTATCTAACTTCCATTTAACATTCTAACTTTATTATATTCAATAAGTTATAATAATAATATTTATTATTTCACTTCTACTATGTAAATTTAATGAAAATTTACATATATATACTTTATAAATAATTACATTTCATCCTCTGAGAATTATAATTAAATAAAGATATAAAATATAAAATTAAATAATGTAAAACTTTTGAAACTATTTGGAATAAGGGATATATTAAACTACTGTATCACAAAATACTATTTGCTAATAAATATAATACTAATAATATTAATATAATAACTGTTACTAAATAATATTGACTAATATTAAGTAATATTAATTGATATTATCTGTTTTACATGTAATTAAAATATTAATAATATGCTATAACTAATAAGTTAAAATAATTGTTTATCATCTGTTATAATGTATTGATACTACTAATAATATTGAATAATTTAATTAATAGTTATAGTGTTACATTTTATACCATAACAATATCCTATACATAAATTGTTATTACTATTATTGTTTTCATCATCACCACTACTATTGTTATAATTATTATCTTCGAAATTATCATGTAATAGTTGTCATGATAATTGTTGTGTTGATAATGATTTATTTTTTTGATATTTTTTAGTTACACATCAAAAATTAAATAAAAACATTCAACACTATATGAACACCATTCATATAGTGTTCTTAGAATGGTACTAACATATTAGGACACAATGTTCTAGTGTATTATAGTACTTATAGTATACTAGAACATAACATTCTAATGTGTCATTTGAATATTTTATACTTATAGCATACTAGAACACAATGTTTTAGTATATTATTTGAGCATTCCATACTTATAGTATATTAGAGCATCTCTATAAAATTCCTGACACACATTTGTATTTTTTTTTTTCTTTTACTACAAAGATTATATCTTGGTAGTGGTGACTATTGAATAATTTAATTAATAGATATAATATCCTATACATGAATTGTTATTGCTATTATTGTTATCATCATCACCACTACTATTGTTATAATTATTATTTTCAAAATTATCATGTGATAGTTGTTGTGATGGTTGTCATAATAATTGTTGTGTTGATAATGATTTATTTTTCGATGTTTTTTAGTTACACATCAAAAATTAAATAAAAACATTCAATACTATATGAACACCATTCATATAGTATTCTTAAAATGGTACTAACATACTAGAACACAATGTTCTAATGCATTATTTGAACATTTCATACTTATAGCATACTAGAACACAATATTCTAATGTGTCATTTGAACATTTCATACTTATAACATACTAGAACACAATGTTTTAGTACATTATTTGAACATTCCATACTTATAGCATACTAGAGCACCTCTATAAAATTCCTGATGCTCATTTGTATTTTTTTTTTTACTGCAAAGATTATATGTTGGTAGTGGTGATGTTGTTGTTGCTATTGCTGGTGATAATAATATTGTTGTATTACTATTACCATTGTTGTTACTACCACTATTACCATTATCACCATTATCATTATTATTATCATCATTATTACCATCACTGTTATCATCATTATTGCTATTATCATTATTGTTATTGTTATTTTCATCATCATTATATTAAGATTAATCCATTTTTGTCACATAGAACCATCAACAATGCTATTATTGTTATTATTGTTTTTAATGTTGACATTACTATTATCATTGTTGTTATCATTATCATTGTTGATATTGTCATTGTTATTGTTATCATCATCATCATTATCATCATAATTATTATTATCTTCAAAAAAATCAAAAAAATCATCATATCCAGGATCTTCATTAACTAAATCCTTATCCATTGAATTTTGAGTGAATTCGTCATTTTCCATTCTTACTTTTTCTTTAATTTCAGATAATTTAAGCCAAAGATGCAATAGTGCTACTTCATGGGTCTCAATGTCTTGTTTCTAATTTCAGAAGAATAATCATGAATAATATTAATTCCAGAAGAATTAAGAATAATATTAAGGCTGATATATAAATGCAAAACAAGTAGTTTTACTTACTATTTTACATTCGTTAATTATGCCATTCCAATAATCTTCAAAAATTTTCACACGGCCTACCCATTCTGAACTGATCTATTGTAAGAAAAACAACTGTTAACAGTGTGTAATTTTTTTATTTAGTGGTAAGGGCATGCTGAAAATCAAATGGTTTAAGGTGAACCCTATAGTATAGAGAAATCAGATAAAAAATGGCATGCCCCAAAGGAAGACACATAACTGATTCCTCTTCTGGAATCAGCAGACCTTTACCAGCAACAAAGTTAGGGCACCTGAATAGAGGACTTGGTGGCTGGTTATCCAAGTGGTCATATCCAGTAGTTCTCCTGAGTTAACGCGACTTACTAGGAGTTACCCTTCTTTTGCAAAATAAAAAAAAAAACCTATTTTTCCAAGTTATCAAAATCATTTTGGTTTAATAGCCCTTTTGATTCTGTTATACCAACGAGCAGTAGCTGTGGCAGTGGTAACTATCACGTCTCGATAATGACGCAAAAAGTAGTAGAAAGATTTTTTTCTGCTTTGATTCAAATATGAGGTAAGTTCTTTATAACCGGGATATTTTTCAGAAGACATGTTGATATAAAAAACTTATTAAAAAATATAGGTTTGAAAGTTGAAAGAAAAAATACAAGAATCGGAAAAAAAACGAACACGTATTTCCCCCCCTAAATAACACGTAGGGGCTAAAAATTCTTATAAAAAACGTGCCATGTGTTTAATTTATCGAATTTGGTTATCTTACACTTGACGGGTGAGTCAATCAGATCATTACACATGCATTGTTCTTCTGTGATACATGTTTATATTTCTCCGTATGTCGATTGGGTATAATATTTCGCAAAAAAAGCACCAGCCTGAATAGTTGGATCACAGCTACCAGTACCAATTTCATTTTTATCTCAACAAGAAAGCGTAACACACGTTTTGAAAAGACATTACATTCCAATACTCCATCATTTGAGGAATTATCTTCTAAATTAATTACTCTTAATTCTTTTTCTTTAAATGCTATAGAACGATCACTTCTACTATGGTATATTTTAGCCATTTCATAAATTAACTCGAGGATCCATTGATAATGCTCTTTCCCTATTTCTAGATCCTTATTATGGTAATCACGTAGGAACTGACTGAAAACGTTGTGATAAATTTGTATTGGTGGGCCAACACATTCTGGAGGACGGTGAATAAGTTAAGTAACTGTTTATCCTTAACATGACGTTCAATAAGATTATTAAAAAGTGTGAAAGATGATGTGGGAAGATAACTCCGAATCTTCTTTACGTTTATTTGTTGTTCTGTAAAGATCAGAAAAGTTTAGTTGAGGTGACAAGAATTTTACAAATATAAATACATATTGTTTCTTCATAGTTATCCAAGTTGAAAAATTGTCTGGTGAAGATCTGCATTGCAAAATGTTATTAGTTATATAAAAATAACAGTTTTACACTACAAACAGATTCTCTTACAAGGTCTTAAGCTTTGTTCGTAATTTTAACAACTCATTTAACAATGTTTGCTTTCGAGAACTCAGTGCGCCTATAGATATTTATGATAAGTGAAATCATAATAAATAAGATTCAAATGCAGTCATGATACCTACTTTGCTCTTCTCCCTTAATTTCTTTTATTAACTTTTGCTTGTCCTCTTTTTAATCCAATCTGCATGAGCTCTTCTAAAGTTGAATCGAGCAAAGCACTGCCAGCAACCTTTTGGTCTTCAATGTCAAGGTTCGACTCAACTCTTTTAGACCGTAAATACTCCAGAACTCTAGCTTGGTTCCATTTATTAACTTCTTCGACCGACGGAATAGGCATATTAAGTTTCACTTGTTTTGATGTAAAATGAAATTTTATTTAAGGTAGTAAAAAAACGTTATATGTGACAATGATCAAGAGAAGCCTTCGATTACACTACTGATACCCTGTTTGGTCTGGTCCTTTGTTAAAAAGCGTAAATCCCCTTTGATGGGTCTAATTTACTTCCTGAAGTATTAACCAGTATTAATCGTGGCTCATGGATTAACCAATATTTTATAAAAAATGAAAAGTATTTTATCAATTTTTTATTGAAATCCAGCAATCGTTAGATTTTTCTTTACACTTGATTACACTTAGTATATACAGAATATAACTTTATTATATATGAATATGTATGTACAAGTGATGTATTTAATTCTTTAAATAAAAAAAAAGCGGTGATTGTGAGCAAAGTTATTATTAAAAAAAAAAAAACTAATTACTTTGAATGATAATTTCTTTATTTCCTTTATTCCATTTTCTTGAAATCAATTTTAAACATTTAAATAATAATTATAAATTTTAATACTCATACGTGATAAGTATCAAAACTTATTTTATAATAACTTTTTACTAGACTTTTTCATGTTATAACGATACAAATATATTTTTTAAGGGTTGACTTTCCCAATCAATAATTGATAAGGTTAAGGTTAATATTTAATATTTTATTATTATTATTATTATTATTATTATTATTATTATTAATTATATTAATTATTAAAAGAATTTACATACTAAAAAAAAAAATATCTAAAAGAAATATATCTAAAGAAATATCTAAAAATTTATATTATAAGAAATATGTACGCTTAACATAAAAAAAGTATTTTAATTATTTTATTTGCCCGTGTATTTCCATTCTTTACCATATTCTACCCATAACGTTTTGAATAAACTTTTACCCACATGATCCAAACTAACCATGATCATATCCCTTTCGAAATCTCCACATAAATCCAAAAGAGAATAAATTCCTGGTTTGAGGGATTCTTTGATTCGAGGTTCAATGAATCCTTCAATTTGAACATTCAAATATTCGGCAATTATATTATGTACATGTTTGGTAAAAGCTTGATTATTATTATTATTATTATTATTATTATTTGATTTGGATGACTTTCTTTGAGAATCTTTACGTGAAATGGTTTCCAATAATCTTGAAAATGAAGTGGCACTTTCCACCGGTAATGGAATATTATTATTATAATTGGCATCCCAGATGGTATTATATCGACGATTATGAAGTTCACTGTTCATCGTGGAAAATTTACGAGATTTGAAACAATGAAGCATCGATTGTATGATGATGACGAAAGATGCGATGGTGGATGAAAGTATTTCACGTCGATTAATTAAAGTTTTTAATAAGAGTTGGCATACAGCTTCAAAGAGATCCTTATAATCTTGAATTTTTATTCCAAAATGTACATTCGATGAAGTTAATGTAATCACTGCCGATAGGATTAAACCAATTTCATTAGGTCGAAATGATAATGCCTAAAAAAAATAAAAAAAAAAAAAAAAAAATTGAAATAATAAAAATTAATAAAAAAAAATTATATAAATTCTATTAAAAAAAAATAATATTATTGTAATTATGAAACCAACCTGATTAGCTATCAAAAACGAAAATATTTGTAAAATTTGTAACGCGCTAAACATATTATCAACTGAATCAGCTAAGCAAATCATGCCATATATTATGTCAGAAAGATTTACTTGTAATTTAAGTAGTTGGGCTATTCACAAAATAAATAAACAAATAAATAAAAAATCAATAAATTAAACAAATGAAAATAAAATGAATGTAAACGATTCTAACCGTGCGTCGAATAACGAATAAAGATATCAATAAAATGGATTATGAATTTCTTCTCCTTGGCGTTTAAATTATTCGCCTTATATATGGAAATTTGTTCTAATTTTTCTAAAATGATATTTGAAAGTCCACCATATTTCTCAATTGACAATTGCGAAATTAGAGTTCCAAAATTTTCATCCAACTCTTGCATAATTTGACTTGTTGGATCTAAATAAATATTAATATATATGTATATATATATATATAATGATTAAAAAATTAAAAATTATTATTATTTTTTTTAAAAAAATAAAAAATTCTACCTTCATCATATAATAACATCATTATGTCCCAAGCGAATGACACAATTTTAAATGGTTGTTGGGAATTGACATCAATTTCCGTATTCAAAATAAAATCTATGCACATCATCACTAACGTAATACATTTTTTTTTACTCCATTATTCATTACATTGGTTGGTGACACTTGCAACAATGGAATTGTAAGAGCAAAAAATTTTGGTGCTAAAGAGATTAAAGTTGATGCTATATAAACAAATTAATAATTGAAAATATTTAATAATAAAATAATTAAATAATAAAAATAATTAAATAATAAAAATAATTAAATTACCTTGATCGATTGATTTTAATGTATTACTCAATCGATAAAATTTAGATGAAATCCAGTAAGCTTTTAATGTATAATCCAAATTTGTAAGGGAATTATGACAATTTCGTTTGATTTCAATATCATCCGATTCTTGAATTTTTTTTAAAGAATTATCAAGAAAATTCGTTAAAAGATTTTCCGAAAATCGTTCTGCCGCAACCTGTAAATCTAGGAATGGTTCAAGGATTTCATGATCTCGTTGAGAAAGATTTCTGTTTAAATGATGATGATTATTAAATAATAATAATAATAAGTTCATAAGTTTCGTTTTTGATATTTATTTATTTATATTAATTCAATGTTTAGAAAAAAATAATAATAATAATAATAATAAATAAATAAATATTACTTATGAGATTCGAATGATTCATATCCCAATTTCATAAATTCGGCAACAAATTTCCATATAAATTTATATGACACGATAGCTTCGAATTTCAAATTTATTAATGTTGTTGAACGATCTAATGCTCCAGTAAACATCTTGACTATCTTTCTCAAATAATCGAGATTAAGTGAAGGATTCTCTCGATATTTTGAAAGCATATATCTGTTATTATTATTATTATTATTATTATTATTATTATTATAATTATAATTATAATTGTTAATAATTATTATGATTAAAAAACATCATGAAATATTATAAAATATCGAAATTTTTTTTTTTTTGAAATTCATACCGTGACATTATTATCGTTGATTGAATCGTCACCTGCAAAACACCTTCATAATGTTTTGTTATTTCTTTGTGTTCTTCATGTATAGGCTTTTTAAGAGGGGTTAAATAATAAAAAAGTGATTGTATCCACCAAAAATTAAAAAATTGATCACTTCCCTATAAGAATTATAAGAATTATAAGAATTATAAGAATTATAAGAATTATAAGAATTATAAGAATTATAAGAATTATAAGAATTATGAGAATTTAAGAATTATGAGAATTATAGGAATTAAGAATAAAATAAAATAAAATAAAATATTATAATTATTGAAATGATTACTTACTAATATGTCATCTTGTTTAATGGGCGCTGACATGAATTTACGAACTAAATTTCTACATATCACCGAACACTTTAAAATGTTTACTGTTTCCTGATACTTTTGAAGATGTGCTTGAAAAATGAATCTATCTATAAGAAGTGATAAAGTGATTAAAATATTGATTTCCCGTTTTTCGAAGTATTCCATTGGGAATAAATGTAATAATGTGATAAGTCTTGATATTCTTTGTATGTATTTATCATTAATTGGAATTTTTTTTATTGACTTTAGATTAGCGGTCGGTTCGAAGCACTTCTTTATGAAGTTATGTAATTCCGATGGTGTACGTTTTTCCTCATTCAACGAAATTAGGGAAATGGTTAATGCATCTTTTTTGGCATTCTCGGATTTTTTCACTTCGAAATCTTCGTATACACTCTTAAAGAGTATTCCCAATTCTTGTAAAAAATTTTCAAGGAAATTATCTACAAGATAAAAGAAAAAAAATTTTTATTAAAAATTATTAATTAAATTGATTAATTTGATTTAAAATTTTACAAAATTCGATTTTTCATAAAAAAAATACCTCTTAGTGGTTTGATTTCAAAGAATTCGGCAGAACTCAAGGCTTGAATGCATACAGTTCCAATACTAACATTATTATCATTCTTGGTATCATTTTTGGTAATAAAACCTTTAATAAGAAATTTTATGACCAAATGAATTTCTTCATCGAGACAGATAGCACTAAATAAGATGATGATAATAACAATAATAATAATAATAATTATTGTTATTATTAGTAATTTAATTTATTAATAGTTTAATAATGAAATTGAAATTATTATAACCTTACCATATAATATTCAACCATTCCCCAATAATTAACATGGAATTTGCAATTGGGAAATTATCTTCATTTAAATCGATCATCTTCCCGGACCATGTAACCTTTAAATTTTTAGGAAATAAAAGTGTGAAAATTACATCCGATAATTTTTTGGTAATATTATCCGTGTCTTGATCCCAATAGAATTGATTATAATTTGTTGATTTCATTGTTTTTAACATGTTATGAATATGTTGAAGGCGAACTTTATTCTATACAAATAATAATAATAATAATAATTTTTTTTTTTTAAAAAAAAAAATAAACGAAGGAAAAAATAAAATGTGAACGTTAGCAGTTATTTATAATTAATTTTTTTTTGTTTAAAAAAAAAAAAATCTTACCAGATAAAGGACGACGGTCGGATCTTCGATTGAAATGTTATCCAGTATATCATTATAGATAGGAGAAAATTCGGTAACGGATAACTTTTTCCAATAATCATATGACAATTCAACTAAGGTGTAATGTAAGCTTAATGCCGAATACACCATACTCGCTTTTGTTGATTCATTATTATTATTATTATTATTATTATTATTATAATTATTATTATTATTATAATTAATAAATTTATTAAAATTATTATAATTATTATAATTATTATAATTATTATTATTATTGTTGTTGTTTTTATTGTTGTTATCAGTCTCGGATGACGAAGACGACGTTAAAACGACGTAAATGAATCGATCAAAAAGGATTTGAGAAATCCTTGCCATATCTTCCTGAAAGGTAGGTGAAATTTTTATGGAACGTAAGAATCGAATGATTAAGACAATCAAAGGTTCCATTATATGTTTCTTGATTTGAGGAGACTTTTGATTATCATAAAAAATTTTTGTATCTAATTTTCTTCTTTTATTTTGTGGTTTTGGCTTATCATCATCATCATTTAGAAGGAAACGAGGTAAGTATTTTTCGTATAAATCGATCGAAATATCATTGACAAGTTGATATACTTGAACCGAAGGCATAATATTAGATATTTTATTTGAGAACCTAAATAAATAAATAAATAAATTAATTAAATATTAATAATATTAAAATTTAAATATTAATTAAAATATCCTTACTCTTCTAAAAATTCATCAGAAAAAAGAGATGATCTTAAAATACTTTCGGCATCATAATTTGAATTGACGATAAATAATATTAAATTATTGATAAGATAATCCATTTCGTGAGATTTAGAAAATGTGTCTAATAATTTTTTTGCCTAAAGATAAAGATGCCTCCGCTGCCTTGAGTTTCGCCTAAGTGATAAAAATTTATTATTATAATTATATTATTTAAATTTAATTTATTATAATTAATATAATACCTTAGACATGAAATCCAACAAAGAAACTAGATGAGGCTTGATCACGCTATGTTCGATTTGTAGTAATATTTCAAATGATCGTAAAATAATAGCTCGCTTTTCCGCCACTATAAAAGAAAAAATAAAATAAAATAAAATAAATAAATAAATAAATTCATAAATAAATAAATAAATAAATATAATAATAACAAATAATCAAAACACTTACTCATAACTTGTGACATCTTTGAATTCAAAAAATCAACTATTTCTTTAAAAAATTCAATTTGTTGAGTAGCAATTTCATCATTTGTTATTTGATAAACATTATATTCTAATACTTTATATAATAAATCAGCATGTAAAGAAATTAAAATATTTAAATCACAATTATTATTATTATTGTTGTTGTTGTTGTTGTTGTTGTTGTTTTTGTTATAATTATTGATTGCTTGTGAAATTAATTTCCAAAGTTCCGAGAAAAAGTTAAATTCCAATGTTCGTTTTTTATGTTGAGGTACCACTTTATTGGTAGTAGTAGTATTGGTATTAGTATTAGTGTTGGTAGTGTTGGTGGTGGTGGTAGTGTTGATAGAGTTATTTTGGTTTTGGTGATGACTCGAAGAAGAAAATAAGTTGGATAACGGTTTATTAAAATAATCGCGTAATTCCTCGATGTAAAAACCATACCACAAGGGTATTATTTCCATAACTTGAATTTTGAAAAATAATTTTGAATAATTTTGAATAAATGAAAAAAAAAAAAAATTCTGGAGATAAATAATAAAAAGAAAAGAAAACATACCCATAAGTAAGTTTTGATGATGGTTATGATTTTGAGAAAATGCGATTTCATTAAGTTTATCAAATAATTGATCATGATAATTTTTAGAGAATTTTCCTTCGAAATAAGTTGAATTTGATGAATTTGATGATGATGATTTCACCGTACAAGCATATTCAGAAATATGATCCTGATGAAAGAGACCATATCTAAAGATATCATCAATCGTTTGAAGAATTTCGTTGATATTATTATTATTATTATTATTATCATTATTATTATTATCATTATTATTGTTATTATTATCTTCACCATTATTATTATTATTATTATTATTATTTTTATTGAATTTAGAAATAAATGAACGTGCTTGAAGTAAGGGACTAAACATTTTCCCAATAATAAGATTATATGCCTATAAAAATTATAAAAAAAAATGAATGAATAAAAAAAAAAAATTCATTTTTTTTTTTAATATCAAATTAAAATCAAAAAAAAATAAAAAAAAATAAAAATAAAAATTATTTACTCTTTTTGGATTTGAAATTGATATTAATCCTTGTTTTAATAGAGATATTGATTTTGAAAATAATCCCAGATGTGATATTATCTCCTTCTCAATTAAATGATTCCCACTTTCACTCTTCTTCATCACATTGATTATGAAATTACATCCACATAAAGTTAATGTGATTATTTGTTCAATTGAAGGTTTAAATTCATCTTTCCTTTCAACCAAAAGTTTATGAAAACACCAATTGGCTACTTCTAATAAAGTTGTATTATTATTATTACTTATATATTCCATTACACTTGAGAATATATAAATCAATGGTAATTTATAAATAGCAGGAGACGAAATATTATTAATTTCATATTTATATTTAATTCGTTTGTATGATGAACGAATATGAACTTTTTCTATTATCTCTTTTAAAAATTCCCAATATTTTAAATTTAAGTAAGGAGTTTCTCCAAATCTAGAAAAAAAAAATATAGATATTAATTATTATTAATGTTATTATTATTTTTTTATGTGAATTTTTGATTGAATTTTTGATTTGAATTTTTTTTCGATTTGAATTTTTTTGATTTTTATATCAAAGAAAAAAAAAAAATACCTCGCTTCAGGAAATTTAGTAGAATTAATCATGGTTGAACCAACCCATTCAGAAATAAATCCTTCTTTATTTAAAAAAGATATTTCTGTATTATTCCAAACATTTGTGGCAAAATTAATTTTATCGGAATATGAATATCGAGTATCTTTTAATTTTCGAAAAATTGCTTCAATTGAAGTTGAATCATCCATAATGATACTTGTCGTCGTTGTGGCGGTGGTGGTATTCATGATATTTGTAATGGTCGTCATGATTATTTATATGATTATGATTATTTTTATGATTACTTTATTTATTTTATGATTATTATTATTTTATTTTATTTTATTTTATTTCTAATCAATTTTTACTCATCTCAATTTATAAATCTTTAGGTAACACAAGACGATCAATAGTATTTCTCACTAAATTAATTAAATTTATTAATTTACACACGTAAAAAAGCTTATTTTTTTTAATTTCTCGCGTCAATCTCGCGTCTTTTTTTTTTTTTTTACAATACTATTTATATAATTATGACATTCCTTATTTATCGTAATAATAAATAATTATAATAATAAATTATCAATTTATTTGTTTATTATTTTTTTTTTTTTTTGTTTTGCTGATAATTAATATTTTAATAAGTATTAATAAAATATTGAGACAATATTAATAAATTTCTTTGTTGGTCAAACATTTTATTCATAATTTTAAAATTTTATTTAATTTTTCTAAAGGATTATTCATTTTTCAAGGGTTATTTATCACGTGATACAGATTTGACCAATCATGATTCACAAACTTCTTTGAAAAACGAACGAATTTATTTAATCAACGTTGATAAAAAAAGGTTAAAAAGGTCAAAAAGTTTTGTTCGTTCACAAAGATGATAGTTTCAGAGTTAATGGAAGAAAATGCGAAACTTTTAAATCGAGTTAATGAATTAGAAATTCAACTTGAAAAATTAAAGTTAGAAAAGAATTCTATTCAGGATAAGTTGAATAAATTAACTGAATTAAATAAGTTAAATGATGTGAAGGAATTAAATGAGTTGAAGGAGTCGAATGAGTTAAAGGAGTCTAAGAGTGATCAGAATGACGATAATAATAAGGAAAAGGGATTAACGTTAAAAGAATATTTGAGATATGGTCGTCAGTTAATTCTTCCAGGTTTTGGAATTTCGGGTATGGATATTAATATTTATTTTAATATTATATTATAATTACTCAAGTATTAAATTATTTCAATTATTTCAATATTATTCCCTCTCTACATATATAAACTATATGTAAAGGACAAATTAAAATCAAAAATTCATCAATTTTGGTTGTGGGGGCGGGAGGTTTAGGAGCACCGGCATCAATATATTTGGCAGCAGCGGGAGTTGGTACAATTGGTATAATAGATTATGATGATGTGGAAATTTCTAATTTACATCGACAAATAATTCATAATGAATCAAGAGTTGGTATATCTAAAGTTCAATCCGCTAAGATGACAATCGAAGGGTATTGAATAATTAATTAATTAATTTAATAAATAAATAAATAATAATAATGGTATTTTTTTTTTAATTTGCTTTATTAGTAATTAATGTTCATTTTGTTTACTTATATATAATTAATTTTCTTTTTTTTCTTCACATTCTTCTTAATAGATTAAATTCAGATTGTAATTGTATCGCGTATAATATGGTTTTAGATAGTTCGAATGCTTTGGATATAATTAAAAGGTTAATAAATAACAATTTTTTAATTTAATTAATTATTAATTAATTTTAATATATATATATGTATTATTTTTATTATTTTTTAATTATCAATTAATTATTTAATTAATTATTTAAAGATATGATATTATAATCGATGCAACGGATAATGTCGCGACCCGTTATCTTCTTAATGATGCATGTGTATTAAGTGGGAAACCATTAGTATCAGGAAGTGCATTACGTATGGAAGGTCAATTAGTGATATATAATTATCGAGGTGGACCATGTTTTCGGTGTTTATTTCCTAAACCTCCTCCACCCGAAACTGTTATGAATTGTTCTGATAATGGAGTCATGGGAGTTGGTAAAAAAAAAAATTTTAAATTTATTATTTATTTATTTGTTTATTTATTTTTATTATATTTTATCATAGTATTTTTATATATTTATTCTAATCGAAATATTTTATTATAATATATCTAATATAATAGTTCCTGGTGTGATTGGATGTTTGCAAGCTTTACAAGCAATTAAAATTATCGCTGATGTCAACGGTGAGAAATTATGATTTTTTTTAATGGTATATGATGATTAAATAATTTTATTTATTTTTTATTTATATTTATTATTTTATTTATTCTTTATTATAGATGAAGGAAGCTTTAATGATTTACTTTTATTCTCGGCCACTTCATATACTATCTTTAAATCAATAAGATTAAGACCCCGAAAATCGAATTGTGCAATATGTGGTGAAAATCCTACCATAAAAACTTTACAAGATTATATTCAATTTTGTGGTAGTGGTCCATTGGATAAGGTAATTAATAATTTTTTCGATCATTTCGTGAAATTATTTGAAATTATTTGAAATATTTTATCTATTTATTTATTTTAGTCACCCCCCGTGAAATTATTGAAAGAAGATCGAAGAATTGATCCCAAGGTAAAAGAAAAAGAAAAGAAATTGACAAATATTTTGAAAATGTCATATTTGAATAATAATAATAATAATATAACTCTTTCAATAGACTTATAATGAAATACGTTTAAAGAAAATTCCTCATATTCTTATTGACGTGCGAGAACCTGTACAGTATGATATTTGCAGTTTACCTGATTCCTGGAGTAAGTTTTAAATAAAGTTTCAATCAATCAATCAATCAATTAATCAATCAATCAATCAATCATTCATTCATTCATTAATTTGTTGATCCTGTATTGAATTATGACAAAAAATTATAGATATTCCATTGAGAGAACTTTCAGATAAAGTGGAGGATGTTCAACGAGCATTAACTTCCCCAACTACTTCAAGTAATTAAAAAATAATATTATTAATTAATCGAGAATTATTTATTATTAAATAATAATAATAATAATTTTTATTTTACTTTTTTCAGTATATGTAGTTTGTCGTTATGGTAATGATTCTCAACTTGGAGTTGATATTTTGAAAAATATAACAAAAGGGGAAGTTAAAGATATAATAGGTGGTTTACACAAATGGGCACTTGATATAGATCAGGATTTTCCTATATATTAATTCTGCATAATTCTATATTTATATAAATATATTATTCTACATATTATATTTTATAAATTAATGGAATCAATTTCTCCATCTAATTAAAATGTATTAAATAAACAAATATCATTTATTAGTAAAATGCAATCATCATAATAATAATATAATAGGATTATATATTTACATTTTAAGTTGTCGATCCTTTCCTCCACTAGCAACTTTTTCTCCACTGGGACTCCAATCAACACTATATACCTATTGAATTAAAATACATACATATATACATATATATATATTTAATTAATTTATAATTCTATAAATAAATAAAATAATAATTTATAAATATAAACCTCATCTAAATGACCCGGTAAATCAAGTTTTATTTTTTTAGTTTTAAGATCCCATATTTTAAGAGTGCTATCTTTACTAGCACTTATTAACAATCGACTATCTGATGACCAACAAACTTGATAAACTGGACCGACATGACCTCGTAAAGATGCAATGAATCTGTATGACAATTATTATTATTATTATCATCATCATCATCATTAATTATTATAATTATTATTTATTGTAAAAAAAAATTTCATACCTTCCAGTCAATCCATCCCATAATTTTACAGAATTATCAAAACTAGCACTAGCGAACATATTTCCATTAGGAGAGAAACTTACATGATTTACTAACTTTTGATGTCCAGTAAGTCGAGCAATAGGTTTTTTACTTTCCGATGGTTCCCAAATGAACATTGTAAAATCATCAGATCCGGAAACGAGTCGTTCCGGTTTATTTCCTGTTGCTGCTTTATACCTTGTTAAAGCCCATTCTTTAGCTGTAAATATAAATTATACAATTAATATATTATTGATATATATATATATAATAAAAGATCTTATTAATATATTATTAATATATTATTAATGATTATACCTTCATTTTCATCTTTGGGTTTTTTTCCTGTGTGATCAATTGCTCCAGTTCTTAAAACAAAATCCGTACTAAGTGCCATTGTATTTACCCAATGTCCATGACCTTCTAATGTTCTTACAAGTTTACCCTAATGAATAATTAACAATTTAATAATTAATAAAATCAAATATCATAATAATTAATTAATAATAATTAATATTAATATTAATATTAATTCATACCTGAGTTGAATCCCATACTTTAATCATCTTATCACGACTTGCGGAATACAATAATCCATTTCCTCCCCATTTGATACAAGTTATTGCTGCCGTATGTTGTGAAATTGTAAAAAGAACTCGACGAAGTTTGGTATCCCAAATTCGAATTGTACCATCTTTTGATGATGATGCCAATCGATTACATTTTGGATTTCTATTTATAATTAATTAATTATTTATTTTTTTGTTTATTACAATTCAATTCAATTCAATTCAATTCAAGAAAAATACCTACGAATGAAGTGGTTCCCAAGCTAAGCACGTTATCCATTGCGAATGTCCCTTCAATGGTTCACCTATTGGTTTTCCTGTTTCTGGGTCCCATAAATGAACCTATTTAATTTACCATTATAATGTTATATATTATTATTATTATTATTATTGTTATTATTATTATTATTATTATTATTATTATTATTATTATTATATATTATTATTATTGTTACAAACCGTTTTATCCATGCTACCAGAAGCCAATGATTTTCCATCGGGTGACCAAGAAATACATAATACCCAACTATTATGACCTGAAATTCACTAAAAATATATTTATTTACACTTCACTAATATATATATATATATATATATATAAGATATATTTAATTTGCTAAAATAGATAGATAGAGATATATATATAATATAAAAATATACCTGAACAAGTGTAACAAGGTGTATCTGTATTAATATCCCATATTCTAACTGTTGTATCTCCTGATCCTGTTGCAAGTTGTGTTCCATCTGGACTAAAACTAACTGACAATATTGCATCACTATGTCCTTAATAAATAATAATATATTTGATGAATTATTAAAATTGGGTATTAATAATATATTTTAATATCAATAATAAATAATAATAATAATATCAATTAATAATCAATTAATAATATATTTAATAGTTACCAGTTAAAGTAGAACTACATCTTGTTACTGCTCTAACTTTAAATATTGCTTGTGGTTGATATACAATTTTTAAAACATCTTCCGTTGATCTCTTAAGTCCTTGTATAATATCTTTATAAAGTGTTTCTACAATTTCTCTTCCATCAACTGAAAATGCATATGGAAGACGTTCATCCTTAAAGAAAGATATTTATTGATATTGTTTGATTAATTAATTAATTTATTTATTGATTGATTGATTGATTGGTTGATTAATATATAATAGATAAATAGTTACATTATTTAATAATTGATTAATTAATAATTCTAATTGTTCCGGAGTAACATTAGCTGGTAAACTTAATGGTGGGCCTGTAACTTCTCCCTCGGTTGTAACCAATTGCGCAATAATTGATTCTAAATTTTCTTCTATTATTTCTTCTTGTTTATTCGAATTGTCCTTAGTTTTTATCTTCCTTCCTTTTATTATTGGTGGACCTTTTGTCGCCATTTTGATTTTTATAATTTCCAACGATTTTAAATATCTTGATGAAATAATTTTTTTTTTCATCGTATTTATCTTATTTATCACGTTTTTAAAACCGTGTAACATTTTAATGATAGTCCTGTGACTTCGGTCTTGTAAATTGTGCTCGTTTTCGTTTTTGTACATAGTGCCAGTGGGATGCGATATTGCTTCTCTGTGCCTATGTGATTTTTTCCTTTTTTTTTCTTTTTTCTTTTTAAACGCGTTGATAATCTAAAGATACAGTATATTAAAGTGTGACACATATTTATGTTAATATTTAATGTAATATTCGTATTATTTCTTGGGCATACGTTTAATAAAGTAACAAAGTGTTAAAGCGAAATAAATTTTTTTTTTTTATTACTGAGATATAAAGCTTATCGTACAAATAAAGTCTTATATATTACATTTTTTATGTTAAAAATTTAAAAAAAACAACAAAAAATAAAAGTTAATAGTTATCAAACGAGGAAAATCTAACTCTAATATTAGCCAAAAAGAAACACGCGTATTTGATAAAATATTAAAGAAACAACGAATATATCTAATGTATGTATTTACTGGTATTAAATATACTGGATAATTAAACATTGTACATTGACGATTATACTGTTATATATTTGATTCAATTTATCAAAAATAACAAGAATCCAAAAAAAAATAAAATAAATCATAAATTGAATAATCACGTCTCATCAATAAATCTTAAAAAATTTTCTCTCGTCTTTTCAACAGTAAATGTGGGTGACCAATTTTTAATCTCACTAACCAACTTAATAATCCTTTTCATTAAATCATCCGTTCCATCTGGTGAATGAAAATCGGATTCAATCAATAATCTATCTTCCGGAACCGCTTTAATTAATTCCGGTAATCGATTATATCTTTCATTAATAACTATACTAAAAGAAAAATAAATTTGTGTTGGAAGTTTCTTTTTCTTTTTAGGTTGATTCGAGCTTAATGCTTTAATCGTATCAACTGATCCTCCATATGAATGTAAACAAATTCTTGGAGGTAAGAGGTGTTGATTATTCTTATTCTTAATATTATTTAATACTTTCCGATCTAATAATTGAACTATTTGTCCCGTCGATTGAACACAATGTAAACTTACTGGTCGATTATATTTGGCTGCTAAATCTAATTGTAATTCCATTAATTTCATTTGATGTTCCATTGATGTTTGAATTTTGGTAATTACTTTTGTTTTGGGATGTTTTAATTTTGATATTTTATCTATTCCAATTTCTCCTATAAGAGCTTGAGGATGTAATTTTAATAATGATTCAAGTTTGGAATACCAAGTATTAAATGGAATTGGAGGTGATAAAAATGTGATTAATGTGCTTAAATCATTTTCATTTCCTTGATGATTTGATGATGAAGAAGAATTATTATTTTGATTGATAGTAGTTGATTTATTAGTAATAGATTTTGGTTCAACCAAAATTGATAAATAATGATCACGGAGATTTAATGAATAATCTTCGAGTAATTCTACTGAATGAGCAAACCATGGATGATAACCTTTTTTTTATTTAATGGAATTTTTTTTTATGTCAATTTTTTATTATATAAAATAAATTTGTACGAAAATTCAAAAAAAAATTTTAATAATAATAATGTGTGTATATTTTGCGTATTTAGAATTCTTTACCAAAACACGGAACAACTTTATCAGGAAAATCGATTGATACTTTAGATACAATATCCCAATCCTCAAAACGAGTTCCCATCAAACAAATTCTTGAGGTTTTCAATTCACCTATCTTGGAAAGGTTTTCTCGGTCAACGTGAACATGATTGTGCGCGTCGCAAACTTTTGACCATTGAAAATTTTCAGAATTTTCCATAATCTCGAATCAAAAATTGGATCATTTTATTTATTTGTAATTTTTGTACTACCATCATTGAAGCACAAAGATTCATTTTTTAATTTTTTATATTTTTTATATTTTTTATTATAATAATAATAACACATTTGATCCATTATTTGTAAATTTATCAAATTTATATAATTCATCTCCTAAAAATGATAATATCACTAATAATGATAATGTTTCAACACCAAAATAAAAAAATTTTAAAAATGAGACCAAAGATATCCTTATTACAAATAACACGGAATTTCATTGATAATTCAATAATTTATTTGTTTTTATTTATTATATTTTCATTTATGCAACATCAGTTACAGTAAGACCTTTAATAAAAGAGATTAATTGATCATTATTCTTTCTTCTTTACGATTAAAACGATTAAATCTGAGAAGAAAATCAAACAAATCAATGTAAAAAAAAATATTAATAATAATAATTTAAATTTATTATTTACCAGGTGGAAGAGATTTTTGAAGTTTCTCGGCTTTTTCGGCATCTTCAATAACGAATGTATATAAATACTTTGAACATCGAAGCTTAAATTTTACTTTTGAAGTGCCATTCTTCTTAATACGAACGGCTAAAAAATTAAAATAATTGAATTTAATTAATATATTAAAAAAAATAAATCAAGATGTTTATATTATAAAATAAAAATGAATATAATTTACATTTAGCATCCTTTCTACGGGCAATCTCGAGGAAGTATTTAATATCCACGATTTGTTTCGGCTAGAATTATTATCATTATTTAATCGAAATAATTAAAGAATGTCGAGAATTAAAATTTAAAAAATTGGTCGATTTTTATCGATTTTTTTTTTAAAATATTTTTAAAACGATCTTTGTTTTTATACCAAGAATGTAAATGAATTTAATAAAAGAATATAATATATATATACATATGTATATAAATATATAAATATATATATAATTAATATTACTTACCATTTGTGAAAAAAGTTTTGACAGAAACCCCCAAAAAAAAAATCGATCGCTCTCAATTATTATAAAATTTTTTACATTTTTAAAAGTTTTACAATGTAACACAATCTGTTATTTTATTTAAAAAGTCACGTTTTGACATATTTTTGTTGAATTTTTACGTACTTCTAGTAGTTTTTATGTAATTTTGTCCTTCCTTTCTTAATAAAAAAAAAAAAAAGAATTATATATTCAAAGTAGATAATCAAATGTTGTGGGGAAAAGTGGTGAAAAGGTAGAAAGTGGAATAAAAATATAGAAAATAAAATAAAATATTAAAAATCAAAAAAATATAATGCATGATGAATGAATAAATATTTCCAAAAAATCAACAAAAAAAAATATATATATATATATTTATAATTACAAATCAGAAAGAAAGGGCAATAGGAATTAAAATCCCCCAAAAAATGTAATAAAAATAAAAGAAAACCAATCATCCGTAAATGTATATATGTATAAATAAATGTCTCTAAATAATTATTGTACCCTTTAATTAATAATAATAATTTTTTTTTTGGTATTATCCTGTTATCCAACGGAATAAAGACGTAATAGATCCACTCATAAATGGATTATATCGAATAATAAATTCACCCAGACTAAATGGATTATATTGAACAATTGCCAATGCAATCATCACTAAAAATATAATGTAAATATATATATATAAATTAGAATTATAAAAAATAATAATAATGAATTAATAAATAATAATATAAATATTAACAAACCCCATAAAATAGGAACCCAGAATAAATATAACATTCTATCCTTCTTTAATTGTTTAAATTTTTCATCATGAATTTCCAATCTTGCTTTTTGATCTTCACTTAACTCTGGAAGATCATATCCAACTCTACGACTAGCCCGCGAAATATTTACTGAGGGTGAAGGTGCCCGAGTAATTTCAGGTTGATGATGATACATTGGAACAACTGGTTGTGATGCATAAAATGGCCATGTATAACCAAATCGAGAAAATGTTGATGGATCTTGTCCAACCTCTTTAGAAGATTCACCACCTTGTTGTTGAGGTTGAGGAGGTTGTTGAGGTGGTTGTCCTCCTTGTCCAAGAAACATCTTTTTACAGTTATCCCATGAACTTGGTACCATATTTGTCATATGTTCTCCCCAAGATTCATTCTTTTCATCTTTTACAAAATTTGATAACACTACGGGCATTATCATAGTAGGGAAAGTAACTGTGGGTAATGTAGGGAATTCAATGTTTGATAAGGATGGCATGGATGGCATAGAAGGACGTGGAATAGATAAATTGGTACCAAAAGTCATAGTGGAAAATTTAGGTGATGAAAAGTTTTGAAGATTTGGCATCTTAATATTAGGAAGAGGAATTGGTGGCTTGCTAATATTTGGCATATACATATGTGCAAATGTTTTCTGAAGCCAAATAGTAGATGCTGTGGCGAGATCTGTAGCAATTTCAGATAAAGGTTGTTTGGATGGTTTCTTTTCATCTTCAACTACCTCCGCGTCAATAATTCCATCCTCTTTATTTACTTTATTTTGTAACAGATCTCGGACAGTTTCTGAATCTACCCACGAAATACTGGGTGCGTTAACATTCTCTTCGGTTCCAACCAAATCAGATGTTTCTTTGTTAATGGGATCTTGTGTATCGAATAATGATCTTTGTTCTTGATCACCTTCTATGTTAAAATCTTCATCACTAAAATTATCATCATCTGTACTAACAAATGAAGATTCTTCGGATGTTGGAGACAAGGAAACACCAGAGTCATGTAATCGAGGATCGCCAATCAAAGCAGAAATTTCATTAAAATTTCTCGATATGGCCAAATCCGAAGCATATTGATCATTCAAATTTGGAATATCAACGCAACCAACTGAAATAAATAAAATAAAATAAAATAAAAAACAATAATAATATAATAATTAATATTCAAACATTTTCATACGAATTATATTATATGATGAATGTTAATTTACCATTCAAGAGAATTCTAACAATTTCTTCATGTCCTGTCCAAGCAGCATAATGAAGGGCTATTGAATAAAAATAATATTTAGTATTAATAGTATTACATTACATTTAATTTTTTAATGTATATTCAAATAATTTACCAGTAAAACCATATTTATCCTGTGCGTCAACATCAATGTTTCTCTCAATAATAATTTCGCATAACCTTTTATAACCCAACATAGCAGATAAATGTAATAAAGTATGGTTTTGTCGATTTCTAAGAGATATACTATCATATTCTGTTTCTATAACATCCATTAAACTAAGTGTTGTTATAATATGTTCTTCGAAATTTTGAGACATTGAAACTTGTCGTACATATGAAGAAAAATGATTTTGCATGGTATTCATATTTCCATTTGCATTATTGACAGAAGAATTTGAGGAACTGTCATTGCCTCCCACGATTCGCATAGCAATGTTTCGTGCATCTTCGACTTTTCCTGTCATTTTCATACCAACAACTTGAAGAGCCAATTCCATTAATACTCGATCAGAATCTGAAATTATAATAAAATTATAAAATATAATAGAAAAGTAAGATAAAAAGAAATTGTTATATTAAATCAAAAAATTTCGTTTTTTTTTTTTTTTTAATATATTGAATTTAGAAATACTATTATTTAAAAAATTTACCATCTGTGTAGGTAAAGATAGCAACTTCATGTTCGGAATTTTCCAACAAATTTATTGGATATTCTTTAAAACTAACAACAACAGGACCAGGAGTAGGGCAAGGAGGCAAAATACAGACCAAGGCGTTTGGGGACCAAAATTGAGTTGGAATGACAGGTGTCTCCCCAAATACACATGTAAGTCCATCTATTAAAATAAATAAAATAAATGATATTTAACTCAATACAAATCTTTTTATCTTGTATTTTTTTTTTTTTTTAAAAAAAAAAAACAAATGATTAAAGTTCAAAATAACAAACCAAAAAAATTGTTTCCTAAAACAGTTACTTCTACACCACCATATGTAGGTCCCTCAGAAGGAATCAGCCGGCTTATCCTTGGTATTGGAAACCCGTTAATTGAATTATTTTGATAAATATTTGTCGCATTCCCAGTAGTATTATAAAATGTTCTCCTTAACATATTGTTGTTTTGATAATTTGCATGCATTCTCATGGGACCTCCACCAACTTGGTGAGAAGAGGAAGTATGGGCAGTCGAGACGTTGAATCGATTCACATTACCAACGTTTTGATGAAGTTGTTGTTGTTGATAAATAGTGTTCATATTGTTGGTGGTTTGTGCCATAGATAAATTTACAACAACATTGGGAGAGACATTGTTAGATGTTATGGGATAAGCAACTTGTTGATTAGTAGAAGTAATATTAGGATTTTGATCCACTTGCTGCTGAAACGGTAGAAGTGGTGTGGTGGGTGAGACAGGGGATATGGGAGAAGTAGGGGAAGGTGATGCTTGAAATACCATGGTTGATTGTAATTGCAACCGTTGATTTCCATTCTTATTATCTTCTTGCTTGATTATTGGATGTTGCAATGACATATTAGAATTTTGAGTGGGCACTATAGTAATAGGAGGTGATGGTGTTCTAGATGATGAATCAACATTAGAATTGGGCGATATAGTTGGTAATGATGCTTCGTTATTGGGAGGTGTTGTAGAGTGCATGTTGCGACTATTATGACCATTATTGAGTTTATTTTCGGAATTAGTATTAGAATTATTAGGTATAGCAGGGGCACGACGATCATATTCCGATCTCGCACGCTTTCGTCCAACCCCGACTTTCGTTTTTGAAGATTTGTGATCATCGGTTATCATTATAGGTGGTGACATTCCAGTTGCTATAACTGCATTTGTATAGTCTTTCATAACGAAATATATGCTAGAAAATAATTGCAAATATTGAGTAATATTAGAATAAAATAAACTTAAATTTAATTATCCGAAAAATAAAAAAAAAATAAAAAATAAAAAATAAAAAAATAAAAAACAAAAAAAAATAAAAATTAAATAACACACCAAAATCCAACTTTTTCATTATGATGACGGCAATAACAGGTGATTCGTGTTGGCAAAATAGTATCACCACTACTAAAGTCAACAATTTCGCTACAATTGAACAATAATATTTTGCGTTGTTCTAACTGCATCGTTTTTTCGTCGTCTAACTCCATATGCTTATTGGCATCATTGTTGGGCGAAGTGGTATTCTGATTGGTCTTTGAATGCTTATTTTCTTTCTTGCGTTGAGATCTTTTTCGCTATTAATTGTTTTACACAATCAACCTAAATGTTAATTCTATGAAAACGACCAAATGTCAGACGTTCAGAAATAATTTTAAGATTTTTATATATAAATGACGATACTCGTACCTCTCTTTGCACACATCCCAAACATGTGAGAACTTTCTTTGGTATCTCACTAGCGCAAACTACAGTAGCTTCTAAATTTAGTACCCCTTTGTCCGAAATATTCATAGCACTATCGGGTGAATGCCTTGAATTTTTTGTTTTTAATTTTTCTTTGGCCACCATATATTCTGGTAAACGTAAATGTGACCATAATGGAACTTTTTCTCCTTTATCTGTAACAAGTTGTAGACACAATTTGATTTGTGTTTCTACCCGAGATTTTGCACCAGTTTGCGGAACACCGAGAACACGAATTTGCAAATTGCTGATAAAATGAAAGTAAAAGTTGATTAGATTAAGATTAATGAATGTAGAAAAGTTACTGATAAAGTCACTGAAAAAAAAAAAGCCACGAACAATACCCTTTATCATTTATGTCCTGTATTTGTTGATCTACTTGATTTGGAGTAACATTTGTCTCCCTAGATTTAAGATAGAATTTAAAGATAGAATTTAAAGATAGAGATAGAGTTTAAGATAGAATTTAAGATAAAATTTTAAGTATTGTGCAAAAGGAATGAATACAAATTTTTAACTTACATATTGTTATCAGTTCCGTTGATGAACTCTAAATAACCATTTTGAACAAAGTTCGAAGATAAATTTGGAGATATAAACTATATAAAATAAAAAATATATATGCATATATAGATATTCCCTGAAATAGATTATTATATGTAATATTATGATGTTAATTATTCATATATACTTAAAAAATTATTACTGACATTATTCATTGTTGGTTGGTGCAAGTCACTTAATGGAATCGAGTTAAAATGGTGAACGTGCGAACCATTTGATTCAGGTTGGGATGCCGGGAGTTGATTATCTCTTGGAGGTGTAGGTGAATTTATAAAGAACATAGGAGTGTTCGAGTCTATAACCTCTAGCTTTGGATCCAGCAAAGTCGAAGTATTATCTTGGGAAGTGAAGTAAAGTTTACTCATAATAAAATCTTTTGATTTTTGTGAGTGAGGAGAGTCACAAGTGTTTTTATCCGAGGTAGCTTGAGTAAGGTTATCTTGTGACATTTACCGGAAATCTATTATTGATATTATTGATATAATGCTGGAAAACAATATAATTTTACTTTTAAGCATATAATACTATAAAATACTATAAAATATTTGTGCCGCAAAATTTATCTCAAATTGAATAAGATTATAAGAAGCATCAAATGGTTTAGATTCTTTGTGATTCTTTTATGCAGCTGCAAAGTATCATCGCAAGACATTAAAGTTAATGTTCCGAATATAATATTCAAGTTTTTTTTTTTTTAAAAAAAAAAATGGAACCTATATTAGTTCTTTCATGGAAGGATAAGTCAAGGTCACATGGTTACTCAAAGACAAATATTTTGGATTACAATTTTATTACTCTATTTTCTGTATTTCCCAAATCCCATTTTTGGTCCTTTTTAACCACATGACTTTCAAAAGGTTTCGTTTTTTGAACATTTTATCATTTTACCAGATACTGAACTGCACTGTTACTTCATTTATACATTTTGGTGCGAATCAGCGAATATGCAGAGAAAATAAATGTTTTCGAAAACATATGCATGTTAAATATTTCTGCATTTTTCTGTAAGTTTGGTAGATAATAATTACTTTAAATTCAAAATAATACATAATAATAATTTGAAATAGTTATTTAATCGATAACGAAATGGTTAGAGTATTTAATGAATACATTTTAAAAATTCCTGTTTTTAAATAATAAAGAAAAAATAAAGAAAAAATATTAATTTACGTACTACATTATTTTTAAAGAAAGCGTCAAATAAATTAAGTCAAATAAATTATGATCATCTTACTAAGCTTCAAAAAATAAACATCTATATTATAAATGTAATATGTACGGATACCAAAATTGTTAGATCGATATTCTTCTTTTATCCAAATTTAAATATCTCGTCCAAATATCATATGGTAATCAAATCTTTAAATGTGATATTATAAAGATTTTGAAAATTATTTAATAAAAAAAAAAAATTCATAAAGAAACAACTATTCCAGGCTATGTCTCATTCTAGTATTAAACTGTTAATATAAACTTTTGGTTGTTAATACATTACTTTTGTTGATAATTTTTTCTTATACAATTACTAATATTTCAAGAAAATATTATTAAAGTGATCTAATTTTTCATATATAACTGGGAAATTCTAACAGCAAAAATTAGTGGTGGTGATATTATTTCTGGTCACATTATAAAAAGAGAAAACTCTTGGTTACGACAAAACGAAAACACGAATACCCGGTTGTACATGATAATCTAGGATTCAGAAAAAAGATATATTAGTTATATTATATTTCTAGTTATAAATTCCATATATGAACCAAAATATCAAAATATCAATAAATAAATGTTATGTTATTAAAAAAATTAATAAAATGTAAAAATATTATTTATGGTATAACCGAATATAACTGGTCATTTGTGTACAAATGTCAAATTGGATTCGAAGCACAGGGATAAATACCATTGTCTACGATCTTCTACCAATATCTGATATAATTAAAATATTGCTAAACTTATATTTAATTTATTATAAATTAAATAAATTAAATTAACTTTGTATTTAAAGGAAATTTTAATTTCTTTATTTTTATTATTATTTTTTTTTAACTTTTTAATAAGAAAAAAAGCTTCTAGAAAATATATTATAAGTATAAAGTAAATTTAATATATAAGAAAAATATACATAGTATATATGAGTACATAGTATATACATATTTAGTATAAATGTATCTATTGTTTATTTTTTATGAAAAAAAATTCTGATGTAATTCGTTATAATTGTTGAAAATTTGTATGAAACATTTTTCCTTTTTTCGGTTAATTAATTTTTTGACATCAGTTTTTGGTTTTTTTTAATCAGAATTTTTCTTCTTATTTTCCATAGACACTTTTACAAACGTTATTAAAATTTTGATTCCTGTAATTAATCGAAACTTAATTTCACCTCCTTTTTATTTCGTTATAGTCGCGTTTACAAACGTTTTTTGAACTTTTTTTTTTTTAATTCTACTTTATATTCATTTAGATTTTTCAGTCCGTTATTTTTATCACTGGTATTCCTTTAGTCGCGCATTTACCATTCATACGTACAGGTGTTGCTTATATATAAATACCTTTGTTTTTTATTCATTTGGTCTTTATCAAGTGCTACTTTATTCTTTTAGACAAAATGCAAGGCCTCATTAATAAAATCTTCCGTGACAGTTATAAAAAGATGCCCTTATTTCCTGTTCAAACTCTTGCCTGAGATATCCAGCTTCGAGCAGGGCACAGAGAGTTAGGTGAATTTTCTGCACATGTCATTTCCTCAATATATAAAATGGCCGACTTTACTTCTGGTTATTTCACACCGAAAAACTTATCATATTTTTGTGAAGAGGTAAGCTTTTGCAATTAGCAATTATAATTATAATCATGAACATTTATATTTAAATTCATTTTTTTATTATCTTAAAAGTTATTACAAACAATCAACAAGGTTATCCTGCACCGCGATAATCATTTCATTAAAATACCTTCAAAAGTATTTGGATTCGAGAAACGCGATTAATTTTGGTGTACCTCATTGAGATAATTTTAGCTCATAATGATCATCGATACTCCAACCAATCTTGGTCGGAAATTACGGAAATTCCGTTTAAAGAAATCAATTATATGGAATCGACGTTTTTAAAATGTTTAGATTTTCAAATGTACATTAATGGTAATGAGTGTATTAATTGGATCAATTTTCTAACTGAATATATTAAGGCACAGCAATTTCTATATTTTGATCCACCCCGATATATTGATTCAATCAAGACCGATATCCAAATAATTTCTAAATTAATAATAAGACATGCATGAAATCCATAGTTCGTCTTCGCCCGAACATTAAATCTGTACAGCAATGATGAAATAATCATATATATGACATAGACCGATCGATCAATCTTATTATTGACATTATGTTACCGAATAAAAATTTACCAAAAAGTTTATACATATCTGATTAATCTGATTTGGATGTTTTCTTGTATTGAAATTATAATACGCATAATTTCTAACAGGTTCCAGTTTTTACATGAATAAATGATGTTTAGGTTTATGGTTTGTAAAAGATGTATTTTTTTATCGCACCTCCTACAAATTTAATAGCATAAAAGTAAATATCTCGAATCAACATTTGTTTATTAATTATTTTTGGTTATTTATCTAGGAAGGAATTTCGATAGATCCGATTTTAAATCCTCCGGAAGTAAGAGTTTATACTATTACTTCTAACACTAATAATATTAGTTGGCAAATACTTAGAAATCCTGACCAAATTGTATCACAAATTCTTCCTGGGTTCGTATTAAAGATGATGAGTATTTAATTAGAGAATTAGAGCTTGAAAGCAAAAATCCAATTTCATATAAATGATAAATAGTCCGTAATTAATTACGGAATTACGGATTTGTTATTAAACCTTATAAATAAACTTTTTGTTATACAAAATAGATTCCAATATAAACTAGATCTTTTTGGAACTTTTCAGAAACAATATTGATAAGTTTTTTTTTTTTTTTGAAATAAAATTGTATAACTGGTCCCTTGTCGAGTTTCTTGAATTTAGAAAAGATGATATCTTGACTGGTCTTTCAAGGGCAAATGCAGATCTGCACATAGAAAAGATTTGCAACCGATTTTGAATTCAAGTTCATTTGTAACGAAACAACTAATATGTTAATACTTTAGAACTTTTTTTTCTTCAATTATTTTTAAATAATGAAAAAATATGGTGCAATCATTAATTAATACATTAGATTTAGATATTGTAATTTTAATGAATTAGATAATTTAGATTAATTAAATAATTTTGTGAATTAAATGAATATAAATAATCTATATTCTAAGTCTCATTTTATTTAGTTATTTAATTTAGCTTTTTCGATTTTTTATTTTATATGTTCTCTGGGTTTTTTATTCTTTATTTTTTTTATAGATATCATTATATTACATAAATAATAAATATAATAAATTAAATTAAATAAATTCCAATTTTAGTCATTTAATGAAGAAACACAAAAGGAAATAAAAAGAAATATAATTAATCTTCGTTCCTGTTTTATTGAATTTAGAAAATTATTTAGTTCTTGTAAATAATGCAAATTAATAGGCAGATAAAAATATCATATCGATCTGATTTACAACTTACCAAGAAAAAGGGATTACTCTCTCTCCAAAAAGATAATAATAAAAATTTCCTACTGCAAGGCTTCTTTGTTTTTCAGTAGGTGGATAGACTGAAGAATGTGCCTGTGTTTAGCCCGTATCAAGAAACATCATATGTTTAAGATGAACAATGAATCGTTTTTTGTTGGTTGTTAGTCGAAAGCGAAAAACGTATTGCAAAAGAAGTGGTTCTGATTATGGAAATTTTTATTGTCAAACGAATATCATTTTTTGGCCAAGTCATTTGGTCATTTGGTCATTTGGTCATTTGGTCATTTGATTATTTGTCATTTGCAAAATGAATGACCCAAATGACTAGATCATTTAGGATAATCCAAGTGGTGGCTGGAGAAATGCCATACTTCCCTACCACTGCGATTCATTTTAAACTTTTACTAACTATTTAATAGGTGAAAGGTATGAAGAATTACTGAATAGAAAGATTTTATCGATTAAATTAAAGATCTAATAAAAATTTCAATTATTAGATTTTTTTATGTATTTTCATTTTCAGATGTTAAATTAATGTTGACACCATTTAAAGCATTAACAGCCCACTTAGGATATTTATCAACACTACCAAATAAATCTTTAAATGATTGTATTATAAATAATGGAAATCTATTATCTATAATGGCTTGTCTAATATTACGCATTAATCTTAGTTGATATGAAACATTATGGATTGTAATCAAGTGACATCCAACAGTTTCACGTGTGGAATGAATATGAATATATGCTCTGGTAAATGTTTTACAAGTTAAGCAATCACAATCTTCTTCTATGGGTCTAAAATCTTGAGAAAATTTACTGGTTTTTAAATTTAAAGTTCCTTTGGATGTTAACGCATTTCCAAAACGCTAAATGTAATAGTAGTAGTATAGTAATAATAAATTATACTTATTTAGAGAATTATGAATTATTAAGTCAAAAGCCAAGAAAGGATAATGCACACTTCTATTACTTACTGCAGTACGCGTTGGAAAAACGCAATCATACATGTCAACTCCAAGTGCTGAACATACAATTAAATCTTCTGTATAACCAACTCCCATACAATATATAGGTTTAGTCTTTGGTAATAGATCAGTACATAAATTTACTCTAATATTTTAAATAAAAAATTATTATTTTTCGTTAAATATAATAAATATATATATTCTTGATTTAAATTATTTATAGGACTTACATTCTCCAGAAAATATCTTTTTCTTCACCACCACTCAAACCCCCAATTGCATATCCAGGAGTATCTCGTTTCACCATCTCTTTTTTATATTAAGGATAAACAATATTAAATTGTCAAGAGAATTCGAAAACATATTATTTTATAATTAAAAGTAATAATAAGTACCTTCAATACATTTTCTCCTCAAGTTCAAATCTAATCCACCTTGTATAATAGCAAATAAATTTTGACTTTCTGACTTTTTATGAGCAACAATACATCTATCCAACCATCTAATTGATCTAAACATAGCTTCTTCAACTCTTGGACCTGTGGTCAATGATGATACCACATCATCCAATTGCATTATTATATCAGCTCCAATAGAGTTTTGTAAAGAAATCGAATGTTCCGGAGTAAGTAACATTTTTGATCCATCATGTGGTGATTGAAATTCCACTCCTCTTTCCGTAATGCATGCTAATTTTAGTAAAGAAACCATTTGAAATCCTCCGCTATCCTTATCGCGTCAAAAAAAAAAATAAAAATAAATAAATAATTTAAATTAATATTAATTTTAAAACTTGTAAATTAAAATTAATAAAAAGAATTATAAAAAAATTTAAAATAATAATAATTACTTCTTACAGTTAATAAGTTTCTTTTCCAATTTTGAAATTCATGAGCACCTCCAATTTCTTCAAGTACTTCTTTGCCAGGTCGTAAACCCTACAATAATAAATTTATTATTATTTAAATAACCACTTAAAAGTTTAAATAAATAAATATCTGTTATTTTATATTTTGAATTCTTTTTATATCAAAAATTAAAGTTTTGACAGTTACCAAATGATAAGTATTATTTAACATAATTTGACAATCCAAGTCTTCTAATTGTTTTACAGTTAATCCTTTCAAAGTCCCCTGCGTTCCAACTGGCATAAATACTGGTGTATCAACAACTCCATGAGGCAATTTTAATTTAGCAACTCTTGCTTTCGTTCTCGAACACTGAGCTACAATTTCCCAAGTTAAAGCTGATTTCATTTTTTAAATGTAAATATCGAAAAAATGGTAAGTAGATTATCTGACTATCGAATTATCAACCAAATTTATGAACAAGAATATTGTTTAAGTTTCTAATTTCCTTTAAAATGTATAGATAGGAGTGAGACCAAAATTAACTAAAAATAATCCAAGAATCCATAAACGAAAAAAATTACATATGCGTTATAAGATATAATTTAAACAAATGAGAAACTTATAGTGTAGGTAATAGCGTAGAAACGACAGATGTTGAATATTTTTTTTTGTTTACCAATATATGTATATAATTTTCCTTGGAAAAAGTGTTCAGTCACAAAAATTTCAGTTATACGAATTACACAATGGAAAACACAATCCACAATCGATTTATTAAGAGAATTGAATTCCAAGTTCTTTATTATATAATAATATAAAATATTTGAATATTAATTCTATTTAATTCTATTAAAAATATTTAATTAAATAAATTATGTTTGCGCTAATTAAGTAACATCATCCATTTTCTTCCACCCGAATCACTGGATCCATTCGTAAGACTTAATCCCATTGCTGCAAGTCTTGCTTTAGCCTTTTCATTGAAATTTCTTTCACCAGTACCAGTTTCAGTTGTCGCACCAAGAAGGGTGTCTATACCAGCCGACTTAAAGTCCGCACGAACTTGTAAATACGGAAGGATATATTTAACATCTATTTTGGCTAAATAACCTTCATTGAGTACGGAATTAAGTATTTCAGGCTTTACAGTAAATAGATTGCCTAGTTGTCGCAGCATTTCAAGACGTTCATCTAACTGTGGAACTTTAAACGAAGCGATTGTCTCTTGATATTTGGCGATATCTCTACATATAAAAAATAAAGTTGTTAAAACTTAAGAATCACAATGTAATAAGAATAAAATAAAATAAAATATAATCCTACTTTGTAAGAACTAAACCACCAGCAGCACTAACAGTGAATTTTTTAAAATGGTCTAATAACATACTGTAAAGAAAATTAAATATATAATTTAACAAATTTTTGATGATATAATTGTTGTAATTGTTATAATTGTTTGTAATCCATCCAAATGATTTACCTGTGAAACGCAACTCCAATTTCGGTCAAGAAATGTTCTAAATTTTTGCCATCAAGACATTGGCTTATATTTGTTTGAACTTTCTTCAAACATTCAACACAATTATTACAAGGCTATGAAAAGGTATAAATGAGTGTCAATTTAAATAACATAAATAATGTAAAATTTAATAATGAAGTGTTCGAATACCCACCGAAGTTGCCAGACTAGAAATGACATCATCTTCATCTCTTGGACGAAAATCGACCTTTTTCTGGCGCGATAATAAATAATTCAATCTTGCAATAATAGCTACAAAATATTACAAAACAATAGAATGAATTAAATTAATCCGTGGTAATATTTTAATTAAAGATTTTATAATTACGTACCATCAATCATCTTTTGAATAGCCGAATTAATTTTATTTTCTACGCTCATCATAAATCTGTTCTTCTCAGACGTTAGATCGCGATGTATAGTCAGAGATGATGAAGCCAAAGGAAGCTAAAAAGCCATTTGAATTCATTATTAAAAAAAGAGAAATATAAATATGTATCTGATAAATAATTGTAACAAATCAAAAACAATAAAAATAAATTCAAGACTTACAATTGCTGCCTGAAAATGATTTTGTGCTAAATGAATAATATCTCGAGCATTCTTAATTGCAACAAAAGGTTTGAAATCCGTCTCTGATTTTGAATCAATTGCCGAAATTTGATCCAAACAACTTTACATTAGGTGAGAAAATATTCTTATTCAATATGACATGTATATAAAAAAAATATTTCATTAATATAAAAATTTGTAATTCTTACGTATCCAGAGCAATTTCTACATATTGTTTTCCTATACTTTCTAAGAATACTTGGAATAAAGCGCTGACAAACCTAGGCCTTTATTAAATAATATTAAATATAATTAATATAATTAAATAGATATTTGAAGAAAACAAGATTCATTTTTACATACAATTCAGAAGGAGGACTAAGTCGCACAGATCTTCTAACAGCTTCAGCGTGGATTTTTAGGATCAACATAGCCGTATTTATTGATAAGTTACCATCTTCTTCAGTGGTGGGCATGTCAAGTAAATTTGAATTAGGAGTGGAAGTTATTTGATTCACTGCGCGTTGAATCAAACTCCCTTTCACTTGTTTTTGTTGAGCCTAAATTAAAATATATATATATATATATCTATTTATTTATTTATATTAAAAAAAAAAAGTAAAAAAATTTATACCTACATGATAAGCTGTGAATTGCAACAACAAGGAAGAAAACAGTTCTCCCAGTGATTTTTTTTCTTTTTCAATATAACGATCACCCTCCGTATATGGGATAAATAAGTCTTCAATACATTGTTCCAAAACTTCAACGATAGTATTATTTTTATGAGAACTTTCTTCATTCGTGTCTGAAGGATTAAGATCAGAAGAACCTTTTTGACGCATATCAAGAGTTTTTAAGTCTTTAACAAGTTCTTTCGTTGCAGCACGAACCGCTGCAAGTGAACGCAGATAAGCTAATGTTGAGTTATTCTCGGCGTGCATTAAAAGGCTTTCAAGATAAGCCTGAATCTGTTTGTTAAGAAAAAATAAACATTTAGAAACGTTGTTGTATAAAATTAAACATTATAATATTAAATAATATAATGATAAAGAATTTATGTACCAGTTGAGCGAAAAGACGTTGCAAGAAAACCTGCATAACATTAATTGGATTAGGGAAGACAACATTTATTATTTCAGCCTCTTTCCTAATTGTAGCCCTAACTTCTTTGTAAAGATTTATAAGTCCTTGATCTACCGGGGGCGGTGGAACTTGAGGATTGGGTAAATCTTTCCAACTAACGATAAACAGAAGAAATACTGTTAACACCGTTTCGGTTAATTTCAAAAAAAAAAAAATTATTATAAATGATTCGGAAATAAATTTACCTTGCACTAGTCAGAAATTCATTTTCCTGACTAAGATTTACTTTTGAAATAAAAAATTCATGCTGATTTACATATAACTTGATGCAAGATTCACAACCATTGAATTCTTGTAGAGTAATTGCACAATTCTGCAACAAATTTTTTAGGTTAAATTTTGAACGTAAAAAAAAAAAAAAAACTTTAAATTTAATTAAACCATTTATACAAACCTGCATCGTTTTTAAATCTATTTGTCTATATGCTTTATCAAATTGTTCCAACAATTCTTTTTCCAAAATTTCACAGTACTTTTCTATACGTGCTCTTGCCTTTATAGAACATAAATAATTAATGTTTATATAAAAATTGAAAATATAATGAATATATATATTAAAATGAGCATAATTTTATTACATACATCATCTGCACCAGGAATATTAACTTCTTTAGCAATAGAATTTAATCTTCTTGCAATGATTGCAGCCTACAAGAATAAATGGTCTTACGTTATAAATAATACATTATTCAATAACAAACAAAAAAACAAATTTAATATATTTTTAACCTTGAATTGTCCATCTTTCCCTCCATTTGTCCGTAAATTTTCTAACCTTGATATGTCTCCTCTATTAAATGCCATAAAATATTCGATCAAATCTTTCGATTCAGAAGCTCGAAGTCTCTGTCTATCGATAGTTTCTAATTGCTCGCCTTTTCGTCCGAGATTAAAAAAAAAAAAAAAGTTAATAAAATTAATAAAAAAATGAATTAAAAAAATTTATTTTTTAATTTTTAATTTACCAATTCTAATAGCTGTATTTCCCACTTCATTAATTCTAGTTTCTAAACTTTCAAAAGAATGTACCACATCCTGTATAATGATAATAGCTTTGAGTAAAAATTTTAATCTGTTGTCTTCCAAGAATTATATCTCGAAGAATTTATGTTTTTCTACCTCAAAAGTTGATTTTAATTCATTCAATTTTTTACGATGACCTGCTTCGGTCAATTGAACACTCGCTTCTAAATCTTTACTTTGCTCAGTTACCGTTTCACGTAATTTAAGAAGTTCATCAATTGATCTTTCAAAAGTCCTTATGAAAGGTTTCGGATCGAATGCTATTAAAATTAGATTAAACCGTTTTTTATTATTATTGAAAAATTTCAACTATTTAAGTAATATTTTTGTTGCTTTTTGTTTTGAAATACCTTTTGGGTTGGCATGTTTTAATAAATTTTTTGATGTATTTTCTACAAAATCTCTGGTCGTAAATTTACCCTACAAAATCAAAAGGTGTTCGTAGTAACAACTGACAAAAATGAATGAATCAGATATTATTGAATCTAGATTGTAAACAAAGGGAATGGTTGATAAAAGGTTTTTTCCTACCTCAAAGGTTTCAATTTTTAAGACTGCCCGAACTTCAGGATCTAAATCGTAGGGATTAGCAGTAGGCATTTTTTAGTGTTTTACCTCTATAATAGGTATATTTGATCAAAAAAGTACTAATAGATGATCTACGTCACATTGCATTTCACTGATATTTTTATTCGATTTTTATACTTCAAACTGGATGAAACCGGGTGAAAATTTTTTGTTTTTAAAGATTATCCGTTTTCACCCAGATATCCGAAGAAATATTTTTTAAAAACGGAAGGGTAATAGTATCTAATTAACTTTAATTATTAGATCATTAGATAAACAGTAATTATTATACACATCAGCTGAAAATTTCATTCATAAAAGTTAACAGATAATCGTATAAGAGTTTAGCTAATTGTGTGTGGAAAAAGTGGATGATGATTAATAATTATTGTCATTGATATAAATACGGAAAAAAAATTATTCAATAAGTAAACTGTACGGTACGAAACGCTATTTTGTACTGTACGAATTGACAATAGTGTATACCCTTAATTGCCGATCCGTCAATGTCGGCAGCATTTGTCGATCATTTTATAATAAAATTCGGGGTATATTTTACTATAGCTTGGAATCTGACGCGCGTGTATAGGTAAGTATAAATTGTCACAATATAATATAGATGAAATTTAGTATCCGTTAAACAGGCTATTTGAACATTTTTATGTAAAAAGTCCGGTAAATTTTGGAGACTTTCTTATGTGCTGAAAAAATCAATTCTTTAAAATTTTTAAAAACTGTATATTTTTACAATACTTTTGCGCACACCAGATTCAAAATATATTATAGTTTTATTAAGTAACTTAACCCCGATTTTCTATTTGTAAATAGTGCCGTTCTTAGACGAACCAGCAATTAAAGAAATAATTAAAATAATCTACTACGTAAAATCCCTTTCATTTTCTGAATATCAAAAATATCAACGTTATAAATGTCTATTATGGCTTCCCTCATTACAACTGTTCACGTTTGTTGATGATATTAAAAAATATAATACGGATGATCTCGTCAATTTTTTTACTTGGAACTCGACGAGGAGGACTTGAATGTTATTCGTAATAAAAAAGTCACAGGACGCGTCTTTTTTATGTTGACCGAAAACAAGTTGGAAGAATGGAATTGCCAGGTGGCTCAGCCTTAGCTATCACCAACTTTATTGATGAACTCAAAAAGCAAAGGGAAAGGTTAGTACCTACCTTGCTTATCGCACACACGTATATACAGAACCTCCTAATAAACAGAAAGTTGAGAATGCCGATAATGTTGAGAATTTAAAAGTTCAGTATTCATTCTTTTTTGATCATATTTCTTGGCATCATACAATGCTCTACGCCTGTGTGAACCTGTCAATTTATATGGACCCCCGTAGCCGATGCTTGGAAAGAGGGCCTTGCACGCCTACTAGAACTTACTCTGTAAACCTTCTAGTAAATCCGTGTGACATACTCCTTCCAGTGTATTGGGTACTATTGGATTCCTATGTTCGTATGGACCTGTTCATTATATGGACCCCTGCGGCCAATGTTTGAAAAGAGGGCCTTGCACGCCTACTAGGACTTACTCTGTAAACCTTCTAGTAAATCCGTGTGACATACTCTTTTCAGAATCCCATTTTGCCAATGCCATTACTGCATTTCCTTATTATGTTTACTTTTTATGTTTTCACCGTATTAAATTACTCTGACTTTCTATAGATGAGCATTCCTAATGAACTTGCTTCCTACTTCCGTGAAACGAGTTTTGATAAATGGAATCATATCAATTGTTTAGAATATTTAGCAAAAGTATGTGGAAATAGAATATCTCAGGGATTATCGACGAATACAAGGTTCAACTTCGTTCAATAAGCTCATATTCATGGATGCTCCAAAAAGCAAATAATAAAGCTATTAAGATGCCCAATGTGCCGAGAATTCATTCAAGCGTAAAGACATTACCTCGTTTTTTGAACGACTGGATATACAGGTATGTTTAATTTTTATATATGTATAATTTACATGCCGCATATGAAAACTAACTAAATTTGATAGGCTGACACGGATGCCATCTGCAATCTAGGAAACCTGTCTGAATCAAAGTTGAAGGTCAACGCGTTTAATAATATTATCAGTCCGATAGTAAGTTCCACAGAACTTGCTAATAAAAGGAAATATAGTGAGGAAGAAAGTCCATTCAAAATACCACTACCCAGATCTCTGAATAAAGATGCTCTTCTTAGTATCTGATTGAAAACAACTTAATTTATATTATATTATATGTTAGGTACCTTAATGCCATGGAGCATTCATTGAAGCATAATAAAGTTACCGTTCAGACGCCTTCATTGTGGACGGGATCCTTAAAAAACTTATATTGACAGTGTTTTAAAAGTGGGTTAACAGATATTAGGTAGTGTTAAATGAAAGATAACAGATTGAAATCTCATCCTACTACTACTTATAGAAATCGGGAGATGAATTTTAGGAAGAGATTATGCATAAAATCGAGGGTGACGAAGACAACAGGTTTAGCCTTTACTGCGAAAAAATCTTAATGGATTTGTGCGTTTTTATTTATTTATTGTATTGTAGTTTTTAGATGAATATACACTTACTCTTGCTTCCCGATTCCAGCTATAATTTAGTAGATATATTTCCCAATCTATCAAGAAGAATAGGATAAAGAAAATTTATTGTACAAAATATTTCTTCACTATTTAAATTTTATGAAGCCACATTTGGAAATTTGTGTTTTGACTGGATAGAGTCACATTCACCAGCATCAAAATTAACAAAATCATATACTAATTCAGGTATTGTCAAAGTGGATGCAAGAGATAAGAAACAAATGTTTATTGATAATTCCACCTTATCATTCAACAATGATTCTTAAATATTCTAATCAATTCTGAAAGATGTCCGGTTATTCGATGATAAGGAAATCTTCCATATAGAAGTATCAGGCCCACCATCACCATCGTCATATGATCATGCTGTTGGCGATACAAGAAAATCATTGCACACTGATATTTTAAACTTAATTACGATCATCTTCGAGAATGCATCTGAGGTTAAAGTTTATAGTCTACAAGTGATTGGTAAGTATTCTAAATGTCTCTTTTTAAGTAAATGTAGTTATTGATCTTGTATTTTCTTGATCATTAGAATATCGTATGACATTATATTCACTAAATATGTTAAACGATGGTACTATTCTTACGTCCGAATTATATTCTACCTTGTTGCCATTTTCATTTGATGCCATATCTAAATACAAGGGAATCTTTATCTAATGGCGATTTTTCATGTAAGTAAAACTGTGCAATCGTATTGTTTTTTTTATCTTTGGCTACTTATAGACTTTTATGGTTTTCAGGAGGAAATTACAAAGAAAATTTTAATTATGAAAGACCTTGACCTAACAATTGATCATAATGAAGGAAATAAAGTTCGGGATGTGTTGAAAATTCCAAAATCTTTGAAGAATATACCACCCAAGTATGCGAAATAATAACCGAATCAAGAACACTCAGTTCTATACATGATTTTATACAAATGAAGGAAAATTATATTATTGATATGCACATAAATATGGTGTAAAAAAAAATATAGCATTAAAGAAATATTAGATATTATTATTTGAAATCAAAAAAAAAATCAATACACAAAACAAACTATTCCCGGAAAACTATCACGACGAACCAATATTGGAAACTTGTCATCATCCGAATGCATTTGTTGAATCAGCAAAATAAAACACGCTTAAGAATTTTGCGTGACAAATTAGACAAATTATAGTTTTATTTCTTTTGAATCTTATGAAATATATACAACCATGTAGCGAAAAATATAATGTAATTAACCGTGTGCGTATGTTGTTGATCGTGAATTATTTAAAGTTTTAAAAGAATTAATTCTCGAATATGCTCTGGAATAACTATATGGGTCCTCATAATACCAGACTTACCATCTTCACTATGAAAAATTTGTAATTTCTTCGTGTTGTAATTGAAATAAACATCACGTGCGCGTAAAAGATCCTTCACGCTGATCACTTTCGCCTAAAAATATTTGGACAGTAACTTTGACGTCTTTCTAAAAAAGGTTATAATTTGTGATATAATGATGTTACAAAGATCCTTCAGTAAAATTGATACTTTCCGGCATATAGATTTCTTGCACAGTTAAATGACATAAATGTGTTGAGAAATTCACTTGAAACCTTATATTTTCTTTAAGGTAAGAAACTCAACTTTGAATATTTCAGTACTTTTGATAATAGTTGTTGAAAACTGCTAAAGCTCACTGGTAGTGATTATTATCACTGGGTAAGGGGAATTATGACAATCAACACCATAAAATAATAACAATATTATAAGAATGCTTCATTCAGGAAAAACAATTACAAATCTTAACGTTGAAAGATTGATTTTATTAAGAAAACATATTTACACCAAAAAAATATGTTTCTAATGAAATCAAGACTTTGTGTGAATGTATATGTAATTTTCTCAGCTATAATAAATTTATATATAAGTGAAAAATTCTTGAATTTTATAACTCTGAGAATCTTAGTGTATCAATTTGCATAAATGAAATTTTATGAATCGATGTCAAATCTAATGCAAGTTGGGATTCATTTAATGAACTTTCAGATTAGAAATTTCAAATATAATGAAGAAAATTATATTAAGAAATTTTTGCATCTGAACAAAAAGCCAAAAGCAAGCAACAAAATATTGAAAACAAAAGAAGATTTTAGTAAATATGATATGGTTTCAAAATCTAAGAAATTTCTCCTCAAAAACTATATACCCGTTGAGAATGAACCTGATGTATTAATCAATTATATTTGTGATCGAACTGTAAATAATAGAAACATATGTCAATTAGTATGAATTTGCCAAATTGATGAAAAAGCGGTGTTAGAATATCAATTAAAAGGAATTCCTTTGGGATGTGTGTATAAATCATTTTAATTACGATCAAAAGAATTATAAAACGATTATGAAGATATTTATACAAATATTATTTTTATATAATTTATAAATATAATTAAATTTTGTTATTATTATTAGATTCAAGTTTACCATCGACGTTGCCTATTATGTTTACTTTTTGTATTTGGTATAAAGAACATTTATGGAAAATATGGGTTCAAGTTGCATGTATTGGATTCAATGTAATGCAGTCCGAAAAATATTTGATTCGTGTATTAAATTACATAACTAAACCATTAATCAATGAATTTTAATGTTATTAGATATTAACTTTAAAGTATTATAGTTTAATAATCCGAATTTAATCTTAATTTTAACTTTAAAACATTAACATAAACAAAGACAACTTGTATTTGGATAATAAGACCTAATAAAGCATTTGATTATGATACTTAAAACGTAAAAAACAAATAAAATTGGATTATCGGATTTTGAAAAAAAAAATAAAACATTTAAAATCAGCAAGATATGTTTTTATAAGGAAAACATCATTTCCACATTTGTTATAATCATAAATACATTCGCGTGTTTCTTTTTTTGATGACCATAGTAATAATCCTCGACTGTTGATCTTTGTATCATAATCCCTATGGAAAAAATCACATAAAATTCTTAAAGGCCAACAAAGTAAAGGGAAATTTAAATGAATAAAGAATGTTGAGAAATGTTATCCAAAAAAGAATGTCTAAAACATTCGTTTTTTCTAATAGACGCACCACTAGTGTCGAACACCACAATGTTAAGATGTTAGATGTTAGATGTTAGATGTTATATAAAATGTAAATTTTGCGAAAATCATTTTTTGTTATAGTCAAGCATTTTTTTTAAAAAAAAGATTCAATGCTAGAATAAAATCGGTGTTTTGAATTTTTTTTAATAAAATTTAAGGAGAAAAATAACTTTTCGGAGAAATAATAAAACAGAGGGGTCTTTCAAGTTAGTATCACGTAAATTGTGAAATAACCCTTTAACGTTTATTATGTGCATTTTTGTTATTATCCGTTTTTAAGGAGAGTAAAAAAAATCAAATCCCGATTTGGTATCAAATGTAACATGCTTTCTGGTTCTGGTATATATTTGTCATCCTATTTTCAATATTCTCTTTCACTTTATTATTCAGAATGACTGCGTCCATAGCATTGCAACAACAACGCGAAGACCAAAAGACTGGATATGGAAATACTCTAACTCAAGAGCAAGCATCTTTACTTCGTGATCTTTGGGAGGCTTTGTACTCTTTGGAAAAATTATCCATTGATATAAATAGTTCCAAAAATGGTATAGAAACTAATGGTACTTCGAAGTCCAAAAGTAAATCTAAAAATCAAGATTCTTCCTCCGAGACTAGTAAAACAAATTCAGATGATAAATATAACCATAAGGGAGAGTTTATATCAGCTTTGAAATTATATAGCCCGGAAGAAATACGCCAGTCACTCTGGTCTTTAACTTCTAGAGATGATCCTGACATGATTTTATTACGTTTCCTTCGTGCGAGGAAATGGGAAGTTGAAAATGCTATTGCAATGTTGTTGTCTACAGTGAAATGGCTACTTCAAAATAATATAAGTGATATTATCAAAAAAGGAGAGGAAGGAATGGAAAAATATTTTAAAGAGAAAGGTGATAAAGGATTTATGAAACAATTTACAAGTGGTAAAAGTTATCTTAGAGGGACAGATAATGAAGGAAGACCAATATGGTAAATAATAATTATTAATTATTAATTATTATTAATTATTAATTATTATTAATTAATTTATTTAACTCTTGAATGCATATATTAATCAACTGTATATACATAAAGCTATATAAATGTCCGTTTTCATAAAAAAGATGAACAAAACTTTGAAGTACTTCAAAAATTTACCATTTATATTATGGAGACATCTCGTTTAATGATTGAACCTCCTGTTGAAACTGGATGCCTTTTATTTAATATGGAAGGATTTACTCTTTCTAATATGGTAAAATTATTGTTGTATTTTTTTTTTTTTTGTATATTTGAAATATTTAAAATCACAAATTAATTAAATTAATTTATATATTTTTTTTATTCTTCTTAGGATTTTCCTTTTGTGAAATTTATGATTCAATGTTTTGAATCTTATTATCCAGAAAGCCTTGGAAAATTAATAATTCATAAAGCACCTTGGATTTTTGGAGGATTATGGAAATTAGTATCCCCTCTTTTTGATCCTGTTGTAGCCGCAAAAATTTATTTTACTCAAAGTAATCAAGAACTTTTAAATTTTATTCCTAAAGATCATTTGTCAGAAGAATTAGGAGGGACAGATAAATGGAAATATGAATATGTACCATATCAAGAAAATGAGAATTACAGGTTGACAGATGAAACTACTAAAAAAGTAAAAATGGGAGTTAGAAGATCATTAGAATTAGAATTTGATGAAGTGAATAAACAATGGATTAAAGATCCACATAATGTTCAAATAAAAGATAAACGAGATCAATTGAAAGTTCAACTTAGAAAAGCGCAATTAGAGTTAGACCCCTATATTAGGGCTAGAACTTATTACCATCGTATTGGAGCGCTTAAAGAAGATGGATCATGTGATTGGGTATATAAACAATAATAAATTTTATTATAATTGATATAATTGATATAATTGATTTAATTAATAATTTTATTTGTATCTGTATTACTTTTTTTTCTTCGTACATTCTATATTAATTCTATAATTATTTTTATAATATTTATTTTAGATGAGATGACGTTTATTTAAGAGTGAAATATTAATAAATATAATAAAATATTATTTCTGTAATTAATAGAAAAATATATTTTATATTTTATAAAACTTTAAAAAATTTTCAAATTTAAATTTATTTGAACATTAATTTTGAAGTATGCCGAAATTATAATATTACAATATGCATAAAAAAATTGACTATATAATTATTTGAGAATGAGTAAACTTAAAATTTCTTCGATCATTAACCTTCAATTTTAATCAATAATATTGATCACATCACATTAATAACGTTAATCACATTAAATCACATGTCGTTTAATGTTGTTTAGCCGATAGCCATTTCTTGAGCCTGATCGTATTCTATTGTTTCGGCCATATAGAAACATAAATAAGCTTTTCGTTTACTTTGTAATACGTCTTCAACGTTTGCGAGCTTGACCGCGTGATCATCAAACAAGAACCACTGCCCTCGGTTTTTACAATATGTAGTATAATGACCGGTGTTGATTTTTCCTTCGTGATTTACTACAGAAATTAATTTGTATTTATATTCGGGTAAATCATCTAATGAACCACCGGCTTCAAGAACTTCTTCTGCTCTGCTTGTCCATGGTGCCATGTCGATCTCCTCCGGAAATTCAAATTCTTCTTCGTTCTTTGATGTCTTTGACGTTGTTCTGGTGGTACGTTGAAATCGTTCAACAATAAAAACAAGGACAGGTGGAAGTTTCCTGCAACTGATCCTTTTAGTGTTCTTTTGTTCATGGCATTTTTCACAAGTGTATCCTTCAAGTTGTTCTTCTGCTGTACATCTATCGAGACAATCAAAGAGCGAATTTTTTGTTTCAGTGACTTCATTGGATGCTTTAGAACCTCCGTTGACACCACCCTTTTTCTTTACAATTCCGTTTCCTCGGAGGTGGATTTGCCATTCGACTAAGTGTTCAAAAATTATTGACACCCTATTACACTTTTTGCATTTTATTCGAGATTGGAAAAGACCGCCAAATGTTTTATGCATGATACATTCACATTTGATATCAATTTTATTCAGATCGTCTGCGGTCTTTTCTTTAGAATCTGAGTGCATTTTATTAATAGCTGCCATATAGAATTCGTGAGCATCTTGTTCATTGTATCCCGCAAGTTCCGTAGAACTGAGCCACATTGCGTGGAGAAAGCTGCATGGAGGGTATGGTTTCGTTTCCCCAGAAAAGAATTCTTGGAATAGGTTATCGAACTCGCAACACATGCAACCCGCAGTCTCGCAAAGTGCTTTATTGTGTTTATCGCTCATGAAATAATTTTTAATAATAGGATTATTAATGAACACTTGCAAAACCGCGTTCATAAAACAAGTTGCCCCCATATTATAGAGGCCTCTTAGTCCAGAACAAGGGACGAGTGTCGAGTTTTTACGGATTTTTTCGGTCTCTTCTTTAGTAGGTACCCACGAAACATATCGAGCACGTTTTGAATTAGGATCCTTGCGGTTCGATTCTTTCTCCGACGCGTGTACTTCTTGTTGGATCTTAGATCTGCGAAATGCAGAGTCGTAGATGTAGTCATCACACCTGTAACAGAACAAATCCAATCTAACTACATCTACGGCAAATGTATGCCCTTCGTTATGATAATGGTCTATGGCGTGGCTTCGATTATTTATTCTATGGCAGCCTATAAAAACACAATCAATACAGGCGTGCAATTTGCCTTCTCTGGTTTTGCATACAAAACATTTTTGAGGACAAAGGCTACGCCCGTTGGGGTTTCCTTCTTGTGGGGCGGGAAGGCCAATATGATACCAATGCATTGATAATTCTGCAATGATATTAAAATTATCAAGATAGGTATCTTTATTGTTCTTTTTGTAAACCTTCAAATGTTCGCACCCACTTTCTTCGGAAAGAGTTACGTGTTCACAACCGTTCTTTTTGGGAACTCGGATGACACGAGTCCGTCGTTCCATAGTTACCTGTGCAGGTGGTTGAGTTTCTAATGGTTCGGCTTTTCTTTTTAAGCCCTTTTTATTCGTAGAAGCTTTTGTCGTTTTAGTTTGTTTTTGACCTCCCACAAGTTTAAGAGGCTTTATGTCAGTTTCGGTAACAGCTGCAATTTTAGGTTCAGGCTTAACTACCTCCCTCGGTGGTAGCGGTGCAGGAGGTGGTGGTGGTGGAACTTTATTCTTAGAGGTGATGAGTTTCTTTGGTCTAGCTTTGCTTTTTGCTTTACTTGTGCCTTTTCCAGACATATTGAAAAATATTTTCTTTAACGAGTGAATGAAAGTGATATTAAAAGTGATTATTGTTGGTATGAAAAAAAATTAGGCAAATAGATCTTTAAATGGAGTTACAATTGGCCAGTAGTTACGCGTGATGTTAACACAAACACCATAAAAAAAGACACGTGTGCATAAACATCAGGTAGCAATGGTGATACTAATAACAATTTTTTAGTAAGACCCTTATCTACGTTTTGATAACCAAATTAATAAGTATTTTCATTTCATTAAAATTTCCTATAATGAAAACCATTTCGAAGAGAAAAAAATATATAAAAATTATTGAATAAAATTCAAAAGTTCCAAATGAAAGATTATGAAATTGAAAAATCAACTTGTTTGTTCTTAGGAAACTTAGAAAATTTTATGAATAAACATGTTTATTCATTAGCAACTTAGATTTAAATGTCTCACGCATCAACTAGAGATGACAAGTTCAAAATTGAATTAATTGTTGTTTGAAGCCTGAAATAAAGGCTTTTAAAATAATATTAGAATACCTTAATAGAAAATTGCAAATTGGATTTTTCATGACTTAATTGAGTTATGCATTTGCCATATGTTATGAGTTATGTTATCCAAATATTAGAATAAAAATTCCAAATTCAAGTGTCAAATTCAATACCAGATTCAAGTAACAAATTTGGAATTTGGAAACTTTTGTAAATATTTTTATATTTTATTTTTAATTTGTATATATTACAAATAAATAAATGCCTTTTTTACTTGGTTAGTAATATGTCACTTGGGACATTAGCATATCAGGTATCTATTAGGCATCTATCTCCTCAAATAGGTCTCCAATAAGTGTCTATATTATACCTATCAGATATCCAATAAGGGGTTGTAGTCATCAAAAGTAAAAGCCTTTGACTCAATTTTTAATTGTGTCTGACTTAATAATTGCATCAATTTACTATGTAAAAATGAAATTTTCACTTGACTCCAATTTTTTCAATTTTTAATTGCATCTGACTTAATTTAATAGTTTTAATGATATGTATATAGTAGTCATTCCAAATATCAGTTGCTTATAGTAAACTTATCAATCACATATATTATACATATCAAGTACTCAATTTTTTTATCATTTTCCAGTCAATTTTTCATAAATAGCAGGTACACAATTTCTTTAATTCTCTATTGGGAAGGGACCTATCTGTTATATATATTTTTTCAAATAGGTATCCAATATTTTATTTATACTTGCACACAAAATAGCCTATTATAGTAAATTAAAATATTTTGGAACCCAAAAGTTAAAATAGTTTTTCATAGAAGACAAAATTATTTTACTTAAAATCCATAATTTTTTTGACTACCCAAATAAATTCTTGATTTTGAAAATATATTAAACTAGATATTTTTTTTATTCTCATATATAGAATAGATACCTTAAAAATTTCAAAAAGATGAAATATCTCAAAAATAAACAATCAATTTTGAAACATGTATAATCTTATTTATATTGTAACTATTAGGTCTCTGATATTTTATTTATTACACCTATCAGATATTTGATAAGTATAGTAATTATATTTAGATTCAATTACTTATTTCAAATAAATTAATAACTTTATTTTATTACTGCATATAATTTTTATAAATTTTTTTGATTTATATTTTAATTCAATAACTAATTATTTTTATTAAATAATAACACATGTCAAATACAAAGAATAGGTGACACAAATAGAAATTCTGATTTTAGCTAATTTATAATATAGGATAAAATAGGTAACTGGTCTATAATATAGGAATTCCAATTTTAGCTAATTTATAATATAAGAATTACCATTCAGTACAATAATTTTTTTATATTTAACTAGTAAATATTCTAAATATAAAATATTACTATTATTGTTAAATGTTTATTACATAAAATTTAATGTTCAAATATAAAATAAATGAAATTTTTATTTAAAAATTCTTACTTTCTTTTTTTGTTTGATAATAATGATAATGATTTTGATTTTTTTTTTCTTTTACTAACTATAATTATATCATCATTGTTATCATCTCCATTTTCCTATTCTTCATCTTTTTCATTACTATCAGGATCTAATACTTTAACTTTTATTCTATTTCTATCTTTATTCACAAGTTAAAATCCATATTTTGATATAGTAATATCTAATGGAATTAATGTATTGCAACAAAAGTTGTGACTATTTTTAATTATACCATTTACAATGTTACAATTATATCACAATGTCATAATTATACTGAAATACCATAATTTTAATGCAATTATATTATTATGCAATTATATATATAAAAGATCAGAAATAATCATCAATGGTTGTTACATATAAAACATTTTAGTTTATTAGTAAATATCAAAAATGATACAAAGTAATCTTAAATATAAGACTGAATTACATATTATATAAAAATAAAAGACGTATACCATCAAAATTGAGAGAACTATTAGTAGTTAAAGTTTGAACAAGTGAAAAATTTTAAAATAATAATTATTTGCTTAATTTTAATTATATAGGTCTGTTCTTTTAATATAATATACAACTAATTTTTGTCTTTGAGATTACTTAGTACTGTTTTTAATATTTACTTATAACATGAAAATTTTTATATATAATAACATCGACGATTTTATATATAATTATGTTATAATTATACTAATTTATTATTTGTAATTCTAGCCAGAATTATAGAAAATTTATGGCAGAATTTTTCACAGACGTTCGTGAATTTCTCCGCGAATATCAATGTTATAGGAATTAAATACATATTATCTTGTAGCTAAGAACAAGGGCTTTCTTTCTGTCATAAAAATACCTTAAGTATGATATCTCTCCCTGTCATGTAAATTGTGATCAAATTAAAAAAAATTTTTGTGTGTAATCTTCCATTGATCACGGAACTATTAATATATTAATTTTTGTACGATCAGCAAAACGACAGACAGATATACAAATTGTTGATATTATTACATATAAAACTTTTTATATAATAAGTGAATATCAAAACAATATTAAGTAATCTCAAAGACAAAAATAAATTGTATATTATATTAAAAGGACAGATCTATATAGTCAAAACCAAGCAAATTATTATCATTTTAAAATTTTTCACCATTCAAAATTTAACTGTTAATAATTCTCTCAATTTTGATGATATATATTTTTATTTTTTAAAAAATACGTGACTCATTTTTGTCTTTAAGATTACTTAAAAGCATTTTTGATATTTACTTATAAACTAAAATGTTTTATATATAACAATTATCAATAATTATTTCCGATCTTATATATAATTACATTATGAAATAATTATGACATTGCAAATAGTTGCAGCTCATGAAAATAATTATGACAGGTATCTTTAGAATTAACAGAAGTGGTATGTGATTTTTAACTTAATATCAAATTCTTTAAAAATAGATATTGACAGTATATTTTATCATAAAGAGCTCTACACAGGTCAAAATTCAAATATCAAATATCTATCGAGCACCTATTGGTATACCTGCCACCCAAATTCAAAATCCAAATGCCGAAATCCCAAATGCCGAAATCCCAAATCCCAAATCCCAAATTATGATTAGTATTTTTTGCCAAAATCCCAAATCCCAAATCCCAAATACTAGTAATTTGGGATTTGGGCAACACGTATACCTATTGGCCCCCAATATTTTCAAATATCGGTCAATTATCGGGAAATCGTCAGGCACATAAAATATTTTTATATATATCGGGTGTCCGATATCTGCATTTTTTTTTTAAAGGCTCGATAGCACTTTTGTAAATTTTATAATGCGCCTGATAGCTATGCGATAAATTTTGTTTTGATCTCAGGTACTCGATATTTTATTAATATCGGGTATATGATAATAAATAATAATATCGGGAGCATAATATTTTTTAGATTCCTTCAGGTATCAATATTATAGTAATATCGTAAACCCGATATTTTTAAAGTATATCGGGAACTGATATTCCTTTTCTAAACAGGTGCATGAGAAAATTTTTTATTTTAAATTTTATAATCTATCAGATCCCCAACACTATATTTTAATTCGTCTTTATACAGTATTCACTTAAAATTCAAGTTTTCTACTTGAAGTTCTTTATTATAATATAAAAAAAGAATAAATTAAACATTAAATCTTCTATTCAATGGAATTATTAATATATAATTATTCCTATTCCCAACTCGATAGTCTATCTTAATAGCTCTACCATATATTCTATACACTGCAATAATTGAATCTTGACCTTCCTCATAATATTTTTCTTTCCATAATTCTGTATTTGATACTTCGGATGTCATAAATTTATGCTTAAATCATATATTAGAGGAAGGTGCATTTTTATATCACTTGACATATGCTAGAAGATATGTTTTGGGTCCCTTCGTTGAAAGTGTAAATGTATGCTCAAAGTAATATTGTACCTCTCCAGGATAAATATCACTTGTCCCATCTCTAAACGCATTTCACTTCGCTAAGATCACTGCATTATTTTCACGTCGACCTGTGACTTTGGACCCAAATATTTCATTACCTATTTTTAATCTTGCATGTTGGTTCATAGTTACTTCTATACATGCTTTCACATCTTTTTTTTCTTTGTTATATAATTTTGCATACCATTTGTATAATATTTTATAGAGTTCCAATGGAATATTTACCTTTTTATATGAAGGTGCTAGCATTTGTCCTGGTATATTTTCAGTGCCATAAATCTTATTGGATGTATCATGTCTCAAGGAGATGAAATACTGTAACTCTTTTCTATTAAATTTATTAGTTACAGCTAAGCTACCAGCAGCTTTCTTTGGTACAAGAAATTGAAGAGACTTCTTCAAGAGACCAGATATCTATTGACAGGAAAGATGATAATCCACAAGCGAATTTTTGAGAACTATTTTCATATGTTCGAGTTCGATCTGCTGATTACTATTGGGATAAGAACCTATGAAAGATTTGTGTTAAAATTTTATTTACT